GCTCCTCATTCATGTGGGTAGCTAGTTGCCATAGAAATATTGATGATAGTTGCTGTCATTGATTGCCCTAATGAGGTTGATTCGTAAAACATATACATATTCGTGCTCCAACATATCATGTTGTGCCGCCAGCTGCAGATTAGATGGGGATATGCATCTGTATATTTGGTCCATGTGTGAAAGCTTTGCATTTTTTTTTCGTTTTTTTTTCTTGGGATGAGGGGAAGGGGTTCCATGGTCCTCTTAGATGATTGATGGCTGTTCTCAGTTTTAACTAGCCGTGCAATTGGAAGAGGGCGGAAATACTATAAAAAGAAAGGAAAGAAGTCAGTAAAAGTTTGGAGAAAAGTCAGGTACGGGTGCAGGTTGTGGATGGGGCTGAGGAATATGTAATGTGGCATGCAGAATCAACCAAAAGAGGCGAACCTTTCTCCATTGTGATGTCTTCTGATACTCTCAGACAGCAGCGCTGAAAGATCGAGGACGACCAGTTTCTTCATGAGTCTCACTTTCTCGATAGGGAGGGGGAATGAGTTGGTTACGACGACATAGTCGATACTGGGGCATTTCTCCATTTGTTCCATGGAATCGTCTCCAAAGATACCGTGAGTAGCGATGCAGTACACCTTCTTTGCGCCGCCTTTCTTAACGACGGTCTCTGCAGCCGCAATCCAGCTGGAGGCCCGGTCAATCATGTCGTCGACAATAAAGACAGTTTTATCCTTCACGTCGCCAACAAGGGTGATCATTCGTTCCTGACCGGATCTCTGTGGACAGACCTCTTCCTCATCAGAGGATGCGGCTGCATCGAACGATCCCCCAAGAGCATGTCCAGGCTGGTAGCCTGAGACATTTGACACGGCAGACATGCTCATGGGATCTGGGATCGATCCCTCATATGTATCCGCCCCGTGGTTGGAAGCAGATGCAGAGGTAGACGCAGTCTCTGGAGATGGGTAATCATCATCCACAAGGTGCCCCTGGACCAGGCGGCCGGTGATAACTTCTCGAGCTCGCTCATCAGTATATTCAGAGGAAAATCCGTCGGCGAGAGTAGACGGAGCGAGCATGCTATCCGGATGTGGCGTTCTATATGATTCCGACTCTTGTGCTGGGTTAGCAGAGGAGCCGGAGGTGCTGTTACGAGGTGTGAGGATACCGCTTTCAGTTGTGGCGGAGGCAACTGAACGACGGATGCTTGGTATGCGGTCAAACTTTTGCTCACCATCATGGCTAGTCGTGAAGCCTTGTTCAACGGAATCGAAAAAGATGGCACTGTCGGTCATAGTCCCGGCTTTCGCTTGCCTCTGCCGCCTTCTATCAGTAGTGACGATGCCAAAGTTAAGTTTCAGCGCATCAGCCAAAGACGTAACCCTCTTGCTCCCTCCGGCGTTTTTAGTAACAACCACCGCCTCATTCCATTGAGGGACGTTCATTCGAATCCACCGCGCAATTAGAGGCTCAGCAAAGAGGTTATCAACGGGCTTACCGAAAAAACCTTGCATTTGGGAGGCCTTTTACAATACATTGTCAGTCACCCGGGCCAAATGCCTATCTAGAGCTTGTCGATCCTTACATGTAGGTCCACGGTGACGACATGGTCAACACCGGCCACTGATAGTAAATTGGCAAGCATCCGAGCCGTAATGGCTCCTCTATGACTTTTCTTCTTTGACTGCCGCGAGTATGGGAAATATCTTTGGAATGCCGCATAGTCAGTTAAGTCGAAGCCGGGGAGGTATAGAGTAAACGAGGGATAAAACCTACGGCATAACAGCTTTCAAACTAGTCAGTTGAGAATTCTTTTTAAACACTTTCTACCACCCTTAGAATAGGGGAGGAACACACCTGTTATAGATTTCGCCGAACCTCCCTTGCAGGCGGATATCATGATCAACAGCTCCATTACACTATCATTGATCTTCCTGCTCCCGCTCTGGACAATATAAACATCCTGATTGCGGACAGAAGCCCCAATATTGACGCTGGTTTCGCCATTGCTGAATTTCCGCAGCTCGCAAGGAGCTGGTAGAGTCCCCAATCTGTCGCAGATCGCTTCAGTCAGGGTGGGATGCGACGTCCCCGAGAACACTAGCACGCCTCTCATGGCTGAGGTCGGAGGTTTAGGCAAGGATCGTATAGGATTCCAGGGGCAACAACAAGAGATATCGAGAGCGTCGGTCAAGCCAGCCTTCCATGAGCGTCCTCTTCCTCTGGCCAGTTCCGTTCTCTGGCCCTCGTTTTTATGTGTTTCTTCTGCGTCGTTCGTCGCTTTTTTCAGGCGGTCGAGAAGATGGAGGTGATTTTAGAGTTTCACTTGCGCCGCAGCTTTTTTTTTTTTTTTGGTGAAGATCATGTGACCTGCGCTGACGCCGCCGCGAGAAACAAAAAAACACGCAAGAAAATCGAGATTTATTTTTCTTCTTCAATATATTTATTTATTTCTTCACGCCAGTACATGGCAGTTCCGGAGTGCCGACCTTGATTATGTCCAGTAAATTCCCTGCTATTCAGCCGGGCGGTTCTCTCATTGTTGCGTGGCAGGTGAGGGACAAGCGAGTCCTGGTGGTCGGCGGTGGTGAGGTTCGTTTCTTTCCCCTGTCAGCTATTCTTGAGGCTATGGCGGCTGTTCGAAAAAATAAATAAATATGCGGACAAAAATCAAATAAATAAATAAAAATAATAAATATATATATGTATCAATAATAACGCATGCGCTTTCTAGGTAGCTGCTGGCCGCATCTTACATGCGCTAAATGCAGACGCGAAGGTCGTCGTCGTCTGTCCCAAGGCGTGTTTAAATGCCGAAGTGGCTTTTCGCGTGGCCGAGCAGCAGGTTGGCCATGTCGATCGGAAGTTCCAACCTGAAGATCTAGTGGGCATCGACATGGTCTTCGTGGCCGTCGACGATCCCGAGGCTTCCACCCAGATATGGAAGCTGTGCAGGGAGCAGCGCATTCCTGCTAACATCGCAGATGTGCCGTCCGAGTGTGATTTTTATTTTGGCAGTGTACATCGTGATGGGCCCCTGCAAGTCATGGTCAGTACAAATGGGAACGGCCCCAAATTGGCTAGCATCATACGGAAGAAGATTGCAGATACTCTTCCTGATAATGCCGGCGCAGCAATTCTGAATGTGGGGGTATTGCGCAAGAAACTGCGAGCAGCTGCTCCAGCTCCCAACCAAGGGCCAAAGAGAATGAATTGGTACGTGATTGTGAGTGTTCTGCCTATGCTGGACACGGGCACTGACTTAACACGTAGGATATCTCGGATATGTGACATATGGAGCCTGGATGAGCTTGTTAGCATGACCGAAGAAGATATGGACAATTTGCTTCGGCACTACGAAGCTGGTAAAGTCCCAACATTTGAACAAGTTCGACTAAAGCAAGGTGACAATGTCGCCCCATTTGATGGGAGCATGGGCTGGAGCTCATGAAAAATGGAACATGTAAAATATGTCAAGATACATGTAATATACTAATCATCTAGGTAATATTTTCTTATTCATACAACTCTCTACCTGTTCATGATGTAATTAGTTTTGGGCATCATTTTGGGAGATGGTATCACCTCTCTGTTTCATGCATACTCTCATTCGACAAGCCGTGCTATGTTGAAAATGTTAAATCTGGTTGGATACCAGGCCATTTCCAGATAGGAACATCCTGTGTCGTCATAATGCATAGTACAGAATGATGATTGGACCAATAGTAACAAGCAGTATATAAATATTTCTAAATGTAATGCGCCTCCTAAGTAGTTATGTAAACTAAAAACTTACGAGATTTAATTAGACTAAGCTAGAAGAGTAGCCTTCAAACTGCAGCAGCAGGAAACATCCTCTGTCCCGCGTTGGTCGAGAGCGCTTAGATGATCAGATAAGATAAATATGGAATGCCAAGCATGGGGTCGCTCATCCAATAATAACGCTCCAAGCGCTAATGTAAGGCTTTGAGATAAGCTTAAAGTGCAAAGCTACATGGCAGTCTCCTTAAACTGAACTGCAACACAGAACAGTTAAAAAGGTAAAGGGAAAAGTAAAATTTTCGCTCTGATTAGCTTTTAATTTTTCCAGAATACATAAACCAAGGAGCTGAAATATCAGACAAAAAGTAAGAAGTTATAACCGGATATCAACTGGGAGACGAGAAGTTTAGAATAACCGTCTAAGGGAGCCAGGAACGCAAAGATACAAAGGGTGATGTTAGGAGAATAAAGGAAACTGAACCTATCGTCCCACGCTCTGTCTTCGGCCGTTGAAATGGCTGTGTGAAGTGGAGCTTCGAGGACTGGTAGGTGAGGCAATGGGAGTTTGTGGGGTGATACCAAGCCGGCATTCTCCGACTCTGCGGAGCAGGGCTTGGATCGCGAGCCGGATCTCAACGTTAAGGTCGCGGGAAAGCAGGTCAACTGTGATAGGGTAGAAGGTTTCAATGTACTTCTCGAAGGTTTCCAGAGGGAAGCCGGTATATCCTTCAACGACATCAACTACAACTGGGCGCCAGGCGGTGATATTTCGCTGTTGGGACTCCTCATCCAGCTGAACATATCGCCTTATAATGTCGGCACACAAGCTAAGTCTGGGTTAGTAAACCATATTCAATAGAACAGGAAAAGTAGCGTGGAGGTGACTCACGGTATTAGGGCGTCTTCTGTCTCCGAACGGCTGTTCTTCCTCTCTTCGCGCTCGTCATGGTACATACGGAAGAGAATATTGATGTAAGTTGCGGCACTACCACTTTCTTGGTTAAGAAGGTTTGGCGGCTGCTTCATGAAACCTTGCTTCCACAGCTTGAGCCTCAAGTCCTTTGCCCCGTTGAATTTCTTGGCAAATTGGTAGCTCTTCTTCAGCAACGCCATCAACCGCAGCAGTTCCTTACTGGGAATCTGCGAATAAACAGCATCGTTAGAAAAGAGTTCGTTCACAGTTTCAATCATTAAGATCTGAAGGACGCAGTTAATGATGATGCGGTTGAAGAATCGTCGTCGTGCGGCAGTAACCACAGTTGGAGGTTGTTGCAAGTCAGGCTGAGGGCGGTAGTCTTCGAGCTCGGATGAGGCAGCTGGAAGTTGTGCTTGATGTGTCTCATCCCCGTCTTCACTCGGTCGTGTTGACTCTTGGCCTCGGTCTGGCTTAGCTGAAGGAGAACCGGGATCGGCCTGAGACGTGACTTCTTCTATGTTTCTTCGCTCAGGAGGCATACCTGGTGCGGTTGTCGCCGCAGTGAAAAGCTCATATGCGGTGGTCCTTTCAAAGAGTTCCACGAAAGCCCCGACAATTTTCTCCCAGTGCTCTGGGGTAAATTTATTGACGTTTTGCAATATTAGCTGCTGGAGACAGTTGCTTCCAATCCTGGCGATGGTATCATTCTCCTGGCATATACACAAAGTCAGAAGGCCCAAGAACCTATCCAACATGTATTCCAAGGAGTCAAAATAATGAGTAAAGAGGGTAATCATATTTCGCAAGGCTTGGATCATGGTGGTAGAGAGCCAGACCGAGAGTTCCTCATGATTTGGAACCTTGGACATCTCGGACTTGGACTGCAGTACGACGAAGATGGGATAGAGAAGTTGACGCCAGAGAACATCCCAGAAAGCAGGTGGGAAGTCGCCGCCATATCTAATAAGCGTTTCAAAGAGATATGTGAGAGCCCTACCAAACTATTAGCCACCAATACATACTATAAAAAGGCGCGGAATATTACCTCGATCGAACTTCCAAGTCATCTCCAGTCATAAGGACGTCTTGGAAAGCGATTAATAGCGGATACCAGAATTGCTCCTCAGGAGACTGGCCCGCGGGCTGAGCAACGGCTTCACCCTGTGATGAGCCAGAGTTTGTACGGCGGTGGGAAAGAGGGCATTCCGGCGTTTTCAGCATCTTCGGGACTGTGGACTTGAGCGTCTCGATTGCCTGAAGAGATTTCTTTTGAAATTTGAGATTCTTAGAAAACTCAGTAAGGCAAACAACTAAATCAGCAAAAGCTCCCTGCGAAACGACAACACCAAAGCGAGTTTTGTATATTTGAGTAACATGCTCAAATGCCATGTTTACAATACCCTCTGTCGAGTAAAGTTAGTTAACGAGATGAACGAGATAACGGGATCTGTAGTCGCAGGTTAACGTACCGTATGGTTCTGAAGCTGCAACAGAGAACACTCTGAACATTGTCTTCCACCCAGAGCGGATATTATCCCCACGAGCTTGAATCATCTGAATCAGACATCGCAGTACCATATCCTTGACATTTACTGCGGTACTGTTTGCCATGACGTGTTCAAAGGGTTTCAAAAAGTCCTTCTGAAATTTGAAACCAGGGAGTTCCTCGATTTCCATGAACCTCATTGAAAGTTGTCGGAGCGAATCCAATGCGAAAAACACAACAGCTGTGTTAGCATTGCAGCCAACATGATTGAAATGTTCACCGAGGACTTCCCAGATTTTGCTCCACTCAATTCGAACTCGCGTCATATTGTAGTAACTGATCTCCACCAGCTTCTGGAGACTGTAGGTTCGCGGGGATTCGCTTTGTCCGGAGGACTGGATCTCTTGCCAACTAACGGCGTTAAGTGCACGTACGAAGTCGACGAGAGCCTCTTGTTTGAGGTTGGCAGTATTGGTGAAAATCATGTCTACACCTCTGACCATTTCAGCCGAGCGGCTCTCAATCGCAACATCTCTTCGGAAGGATGCTAGTCCATTACTGGAACGCGGTCGGGGCTTCTTTGGAACTTGAAGGGACTTTTGAGAACGTGAGTCCGTAGATGGCGATGCCCGTGAAACATCAGGCAATGAGCCTTCATCTACTCCATCGGTAAGAAGCTGGAATCGATCAAGTTGGCTGATGCAAGTGAGGATCTCTCGCCAGGAGCTCTGCAAATGATCACCTTCGGTTATAGCAACATCTAGCAAAACCTTAAGGGCCTCCACATTTTTCGCAGCCATCTCGCGCAAGTTGCCTAGGTTGGTGAACTTGGCCAGGGCAGTAACGAAAGCGACTCTTGGAGTCTCGAGATCAAACATGCACGAGATACGGATAGCTAACCTGATTCCATCCATACACAGACGAATTGTTTCCCGATTTTGAGTATCCTGCACTTGAGCCGAAAGGCCAGAAAGGAAGGACATCCATGTCACATTGAACATGGACCCAACGTGTCGTACCGAAGTAGCGGGGATAAAACGTGACAGTGCTTCTTTCATAGCTGACTTCCGCTGCGCTCTAATCAAACTTCGATACAATTGCTCAGTTTTGCTAGAAATTTCCTCTGATGCCTGTGCGTATTTTTCGCCCTGAATGTCCCTACCAACAGTAGCCAGCGCCTGACCGGCTCTCGAAGCCAGTCCTGGCTGGGGAGCAGGCAAGTGACCCAGGTTTGCAGCAGTCTCGCGCTCGGTACGTAGAACGATCTCATTATTCAGAATTTCGTCATATATGCCGCTGAGATATTCAACTGGAAGATCAGCGTTATCATTAATTCCCTTATTATTCTTAATGAAGTCATCCTTTGTCATACGGCGACCCTTCATCTTCGTGCTATGCAGGTCCGTATTAAGTAGAATAACTGAATAAGCGAGAACGTAAGCTGCATCTGCCGAGGCGAATGCGTTGGGATTTTGAGTCACATATCGCTGTGCGAACTTGAGCATGAATCTATCGATCTTCTGGGATTCTCCGGGCAATCTAAAACTTTGTAGGAAATCTCGAAGCGCATCTGGGAACCGGCGTTTAGTGAAATCCATGCAATCGACGAATGCATGCATGACAGCAATATTTTCTGCATCGCCTTCTCCTAGGTATTCTCCAAGGGTTGCCTTGTCTAGTCTGTCGTTCCTAAAGATGAAGTGCGCGATATCGGTGGGGGAGTTCGATGGGATGAACCCTTCAGACAGCAAGATCTTCATTCCGCGTTTTGGTTTGAAGTTGAAGGTTCGAATTGCATTTGTCAATGCGATTTTCCGTTGCTTGACTTTTTCAATTTCATTGGGGTCGTCTTCAGGAACAGGTGATGATGCGCCTGTGTCTGAATCTGCGTTGTCGACTCGGGGTGATGGAATGATAGGGCCTCCTTGACTGGTATCCATGGAATCTCGGGAAACGTCAACTGAGCTACGCGACATCAGTCCTCGGCCTAAGGACTTGGGCTCACTGTCCTGAGAGGACCATATATCAAGAGAGCGTAGTATCTCTACTAGACATTCCAGCGCGTTCTGCTTCATGGCGTACTCAGGGGGATAATGTTGGTTATTGGTGGGCGGAGGGGTTTGGTCAATCTTGGCAGTAGTGAGGGAAGGGGGAAGGGTACCACGGCTATGCCAGTCATTAGGGGTAGAAGGGGCTTTGGAATGTTGTTGTTCATATTGCTGTTGTTGTGATGCAGTGACAGTAACAGGCACACTTGACATTCGAGAAAGCTGTTCAATGATTCTATTTTTGCAATATTAGCCATGGTCACGGTCCGAAGATAACTGACATACCCTTGGAACAAATTCTCCAATGCAGTACGGTCACAGTCATAATTTAGATATATCTCAACCAATGCCCTTGGGTCACCGGAGAGACGCTCTAAAATATGCATGAAGCTCTGTTTCTGGAATATAGGGGAGCTACGCTTCTCAAGGATGGCCAGGTATATTTCCTTGAAGAAGACCTCCAGTTCCTTCTGCAGTTGTGGTTTAGCAAATCGTAATAAATGAGAGGGTGAAAAAGGGGTATAATGAAGATCATCTAACCTTTAACATCACCCTCATATGCTTTAACATCAGCCAGAATATTTCACAGCAGACATTAAATACGCGGGGAACCGAGCTAGCGCCATTCCTACTCAAACTAAGGCAAAGATGTGGCTTGATGGCCTGTAGTAGCGTCATGCTTTCATCAAAGTTTGAACCGTGTTTGATGGTTGCAATGGGTGAGGTGAAAACAGCAATATGGTTGTTTAGGAGGTGTTGCATTAGATGTAAAGAGAGTAGCTTTGACCTCATATTCTGCGCCTTCAGGTCTTGCTGTTGCTCATGGGTGAGCACTTTATGACTCAGTTTGCATAGAGCCCTGAAGACCAAAAAGGCGTCCTTGATATATATTTCATCCTCTTCATCGGCTGCTGGATCAAGTTCCTCGCCAGATCTAGATGTCTTTCTTACCACCTTGGCCCTTGTGACCATTGTTGGTGCACTATCATTGACCATGGTATCATCCTTGTTGGTCTCGAAACTTTGTAGAGTCAGTTTCTCCGTCGGCTCCTTTGCGACAGGTTGATCTACAACATTTGAGGTTCCAATATCTGATTGTCCTTCAACGTCCGTGACGGCACCATCCTCCGCAGCGTTAGGGGGTGAGTCAACGGTAGAGCCATTGCGATTTTCCCGGGTCTCGGTCTCCTGTATACGGACCTCCTTGAGATCCAATCTGGTGCGTACGCGATCATAGACAGTGCCAATCATTTGAGTCAACGATCCCTGTGCTATCTGCTGGTTCTGCGCAGACTTGGAGTAGATGAAGATATTGTAAATTTGTCGAACTGCCTTCAGCAAGCCGGCACCATGAACAACAATCTTGTCGTTAAGTACAGCAGCCAGGAGAGACTTGATAATCTGTTGCTGGATCTCTATAGCGGTGTGTTCGTTCTCGAAGCAGTCGCATATTGTCTCGATTGCACGTTCTATCAGCGGAGGTTGGTCTGCGGACTCGCTTCCATCGGGAACGGAGGGAAAGGCAAAGTAAGAATAAGTTATCAGCTTGCCAATACAGTCTAGGGCAGTGACCTGCAGCGGGATACTATCGGTCTTGCTCGCCAATTGTAAGGGTAAAAAGATCGATTCTGGGTCTATTGGATGGTGGTCGGACTGCTTAATGTTGGCCTGAGCCTGCTTGACTGCGTCATCCAGCTCCTTGCTCTTCCGGGCTTCCTTCGAGGCCGCAATTGTATCCAAAGCAGTGATCACGAATACAGCTGAGCTGAGAGGTGTTGAACGCTGCTGGCCAGACTGCGTTGCAACCGTTGACCGGGAGTCAGACCGCGACCTCGACTGTTCTATTACAACCGAAGGAGTCTGTTCTGAGCCCCTTAGCGTGGCATTGTCATCTCCACCATCAGCACCAGCGTCCTCGCAGGCATCTGTCTCCGTAGCATCGTCGTCCTCTTCTCCCCCGTCTTCCAGCTCAGGCTGTTGTTCCCCCTCGGGCTGTTCAGCTTCGTCTTCAACAGTGTCCCCTTGTGGCGGCTGGAGTTCTTCTGCCACTGCTGTTTCATCTGCTGTCGTGGTATCTGGCTCAGCATGTGCTTCCGGTTGCTGTGCAGCCTCGGGTGGACGTTCTTCGGAATCGGCCATTGGGAGTGTAGGAGGCCTGCAGGCAGGCTAGATATATCCTTTTAAACAGACAAGGACCCGGTCTGAACTAGACGACGCCGAAAACCATAAGCGCAAGGAGCGGCAAACGAGTGGAGGGCAAGGCAAGGGGGGCGTCTGCGCAGTTCCGGGCTCCTTTGTCGATATAGGTTCATCAATGTAGTTCGTTGGATGCATCTACAGCCAACATCTCAGCTACCTACATCTGGCCTTCTCTCTGCCGTTTTCCCCAGGTGATTATGTCAGTGAAATTACGTCAGTCCTTAGTCATTTCATTAGTAATCGGCGCGCTTGGGCTGCTTCGTTCCGCCGTAGCCACTAGTCCAGATGCGTCCATCGTGACTAAGCTATCGGCCGTGTTTGGTGGGAAAATCCACGTGACCGCGGCCCCGACAGAGGATCCGCTTTCCGGCGAAGCTCAACAAAATCATCTCAGTTTCAGAGCAGACGCAGAGTCGAAGACGAGAGATCTCACGCCGTCCACGATCTTCACACCCCTAACTCCTCTTATCCTCCATCGACCTCGCTCCCTTGGGTCAGCTCGTCTGGAGCCTGCTCTCATACCCCTTGACTGCAGATTCAATTGCCCGTTTTCGTTCCTTCCAGACAGATATCAACAATGGCCTCTGCTGCCGTGCTGTCGCGGCGGTTGCTGCTCTCCAAGACCGCACAACATGGACTGAGGGAGTCGCGGAATGTGCTTCGTCTTTCTGATGCGCTCAGGTATGACTGCCAATGGTATCAGGGAGTGCCATTTGCATTGATTCCGACTAACATCGGTCTTCTCTAGGTCCGGAGTGCCAGCTTACGCTTCGCTGGCCAGATACTATGCCTCCAAATGTATGCGAACAATGCCTTACTCCATACTCCAATTTGACGCCGAAATAAACCATATATTAACTGTGATATAGCCTACCCTCCCCACACCATCATTAGCATGCCTGCTCTCTCGCCTACCATGACTTCTGGAAATATTGGAGCTTGGAACAAAAAGGCTGGAGATACTCTCTCTCCCGGTGATGTTTTGGTAGAAATCGAAACCGACAAGGCCCAAATGGACTTTGAATTCCAGGAAGAAGGTGTTTTGGCTAAGATCTTGAAGGATGCTGGTGAAAAGGACGTTGCTGTTGGTAACGTAAGTATTTAAAGCGGAAAGAAAATCACCGTCATACCCGGAATAATTCTAACTTGATATTCTGGATAGCCAATTGCCGTCATGGTCGAAGAAGGAGAGGATATCAGCCCATTCGAGTCTTTCAGCCTGGAGGATGCAGGCGGTGACAAAGCTCCTGCTGCTGACAAGTCACCCAAGGAGGCCCCGAAGCCCGAGGAGGCTGAGACCAAGGCCGCTCCAACCCCAACCTTCGAGGAGAACAAGCCAGAGGCCCAGGAAGCAGACACTACCGGAGAGAGACTGCAGCCCAGTCTTGACAGAGAACCATTCGTCAGCCCGGCTGCTAAGGCTCTTGCTCTTGAGAAGGGTGTTGCAATCAAGGACGTCAAGGGAACAGGCCCAGGTGGACGAGTCACCAAGGAAGACGTTGAGAAGCACCAGGCTTCTGCTCCAGCTGCTGGTGCTGCTGGCCCAGCCTATGAGGACGTTCCTGCCTCCTCTATGCGCAAGGTTATCGCCAGCCGTCTTGCTCAGTCGATCCGCGAGAACCCACACTACTTTGTTTCCTCCACTCTGTCCGTCACCCGTCTTCTCAAGCTTCGCCAAGCATTGAACGAATCGGCAGAGGGTCGATACAAGCTTTCTGTGAATGACTTCCTTATCAAGGCCTGCGCTGTTGCTCTCAAGAGAGTTCCCACTGTTAACTCCCGATGGATCGAGCAAAACGGCCAAGTGATGATTCGTGAACACAAGACCGTCGACATCAGCGTTGCGGTTGCTACTCCATCCGGCCTTATCACTCCTATCGTCAAGGGTGTCGAGGGACTTGGCCTGTCCAACATCTCCAGCCAAGTCAAGGACCTCGGCAAGCGCGCAAAGGAGAACAAGCTCAAGCCTGAGGAGTATAATGGCGGCACTTTCACCATCAGCAACATGGGCATGAACCCTGCCATTGAACGTTTCACTGCCGTTATTAACCCTCCTCAGTCCGCTATCCTTGCCGTCGGTACCACTCGCAAGGTAGCTGTCCGCTCCGAGCTTGAGGAAGGCACTGAAATTGAATGGGATGACCAGATTGTGGTCACCGGCAGCTTTGACCACAAGGTCATTGACGGCGCTGTCGGAGCTGAGTTCATGCGTGAGCTCAAGAGAGTTGTGGAGAACCCTCTCGAACTTCTTCTCTAAACTCATTCAAATCTTTCCCAACTTCATCTACCCATTTAACCTTCTACTACCTTGCCTCCATATTCCCCATTAACCGGATTCTCTCCCTGATCTTTCAATTAGACTTGATCCTGTATTTCATATAGCAGATTTTTACAGCTGGAAAGCGTCTTTCCACTGTTTAAAAATAGTGTATTAAAACATGTACTTCCCCTGACCCCCTTTTACCCTTGCGCTACATCCTATCTTCCGTCCTCCTGCACCTCGCGCTTTATTCCGACCTTTCTTCCTCTCTCATGTGTTATATACTACGTCCTTCAAGCGAATATTCCATTCTTGGATTTCTTTCTGTTGTCTCTACGAACTTCATTTCAACTCCATTTTGGTAGAATACTGACCACATCTGCTGCCAGCACTTCGCATACGTGTGGCTCATGAAACACAGACTATGCGGTATACTAACCCGCTGCTCAGAGATCTTACCCTCCTCTATCCTTCTGGTAATACACTATATCGTCTAATCCCTACGTATAATCATGTGAAAACCCCATGCTATTTGCCGCTTTTCTTCTGCCGACCTCCGTGTTGTGCCTTGGAAGTCCTGCCCCCAGGTATGACGTAATAGCGGCATCTAGAAGCAAAGCTCCAAAACAACCTATATAAAGAGTACATCTGCTCCCGGGCCTTCTTTTGCCTCTCTCCCCTCAGCTAAAGATACACAGCTACATCATATACGAGCCTGATATCTAGTCTTGAGGTGGTCTTTGTCATAGTCAATTCCTCAAGCACCATGTCGTACGCCAAAGCCGCTGCTCAGAATGCTAAACAGACAGCAGAAGAAGTGAGTGTTCCACACTTAACCCCATAATTGATCACCTTACTGACAACCTGCTAGGCGTGAGTATACGTATCAATAGCAATGTAGAAGAGGGATCGGAAACTAACCAACACTTAGTCGAGCTCCTGAGCCTCCACAAGTGAAGAGAGATGAGAACGCCTCTAATCTCGTGGACGTCGATTCGCCACATGTCTCTACCGTCCCATCAGACTTTAATGCACAGGAGATAAAAACCAAGACGCAAGAAGCCCGCGTTGAGCTTGAGAAGGAACAAGAAGAGCTAAAGAAGAAGTACAGAGAGGGCAAGCAGAAGGCCAAAGAGACGGCCAAGGATGTCAGCGAACGTGCCCAGGAAGCTGCTGCAGGAGGTTACGACAAGTTTGACCGTAACAAGTCTAATCCCGTCGTCATTGGGAATATGGTTCTCCTCACTGCTGCTAGTGCCGGGTTGGCATATGGTGCGTACCAGAAACACCTTCGCGGAGCATTGACATGGGAGTTGGTTGCTGCATGGACCGGTGGCATCGGCGCTCTAGGTCTCTTTGATTACTACGTCAGCAGGTATGTTGAAGTTCGCTGCATGATTGATGCAATGGGTGTACGGAGTATATTGACTTGATATAGGTGGTTCTTCCAGAACAAGTATCCCCCGAAATAAACGCTTGATGTACATGGAGTCGTGCCTTAGGATGGTACTTTCTAGTTCTTTGTTTGATATCTTGCTTATACCGGGCTTCGTTTTCTTGCCGTCGAGTGCTGAACAATATACGGAGTAATGTTTGTACATTGACTAGGCGAATCATATTTCTGAACCAAATTAATCATGCCTTCAGTATCATTTTACTTCTGCAGTAGCCTTGCACTACTGGGTCAGCGTCATGATGTAGGATCTAGTCATTGCATTGTGCCTATGTATCTAAACTTTAGGCAATTAGTGTTGGCCTATAGGAGACGTGGCAAACATCCTCATGACGGAGCAAAAAGAAAACCCGCCTAGGCAGCAAGATGCACCATGCAGATCTCTATCTTACGAGACTCTAGATATAAACTTGAATCATTTAAAAAAAACATATACCGTAATTTTCCCGACTCGCTATCCACTATGCTTAATTAGGTAGCAAGGAAAATCTCAGATTGAGAGAGACTCAATAACCTTGAGAATTGCTCCTTACAAGCCTTGCTCCGTGCTGATCGAAATAATTAACGACCTACCAGTCGGTGGAAAGAATTATTGATCACATTCCACGCAATTTATAAGGGGTAAGCCCTCATCTCTGGCCTGGCATTGTACAGGCTAATATCTCTGGTAAATGTACCAGACTCCCATACCGGATAATGGCGCCTAACGACCGATAGGGAATAGAAATGTGTGAGATACACATCACCACAATAAGATACACTAAATGCTCAGAGGCCTGCACCAAAGTCAGACGACACCTGGAGAAAATAAAATGCCTTCAATACGCTGAGAGCGAAAGAGTTTGCCAAAATCCACCGGAGGTGTATTTAGGAAGAACAGTCAGTCGTGCACGGTGTCTGCGCCATAGGGACGAAGGCTTTCAGGATTACGATCCTCGATAAGATGTTTTCACAATCCAGATATGACTCCAGCAATATGTTGGCGTGAAACGTGTTCCAGAGCGTTGAATACTTCTCCAGCCGTTGTCTTTCGGTACCAGCATCGACATATAATGTCACTAACATCAGGGAATTCTCAATTCATGTATAACTTTTCTACTTCATCACTGGCTGTGTCCTTGTAAGGATACACCCCACTCATAATAAAGTAGATCAACGATCCAAGGCTGAAAAAATCATCTTCAACCGTGGGAGGAATATCCCAGTCCATCACAGGCCATCTGAACCTTGTTCCTGCAGTAGCAGTTGGCTCAGCGCCAGAAATTGAAACACTACCGAAATCAGATATTTTGAGATCCAAGTTCTCATCCAGTAGGAAATTCCGAGGTGAAATGTCGCAATGAAGTATGTCATGAGAATGAAGAAGAGTGAGTCCTTCTGCGGTTTGTTTCGCCCATCGAAGACGGAGCTCGGGAGATAACTTCTCCTCATTCTTGTCCATGTAATCCTTTAAACTGCCGTGGGTCACGTATTCCATCCTGATGCAACATATCTCCGGATCCCAACTTAGCAGTTTCGGCACCCGCGGATGAGTACCAAGTATTTTATAAACCCGAGCTTCAATGCGCATGTTGCAGCAATTTTCTCGGAAGCATCGAGGATCTACGTCTGGTAAAGGTGTTTTAATCACTTCTCCAGAAGGAAGACGTTCAAGATACGCGGTCCCGCCGATATCTAAAAGAACTCCCTTGGACACTAGATATTATCTGCCTTTGTGTTGGCCGGTGGTTCGAAATATTCGTCCGGTAGATCAGGATTTAGTTCTCGCATCCATAGGCCCGGGATAATGAGGGTTGTTGTGTCCTTTGAGTAATTGGGAGCAGTAGGATGAACGGCCGTCGGAGTCTGAAATTGTAAAGACGAATTCATTAGAGTGTAACTCTGTACGGTAATAGGAGCATTAGTTACTTGACCTTGCACTGCTCTACGTCTCCATTGTATTTCTCGGATCTCCCTTCGGATATTCCAAACAGTCGACTAAGGGAGCGGAAGAAAACAGATAGATTGGAGAGTAGACCCGTTGACCATGGCCGCCAGAAAAACGAAAAACCACGACTCAACATCAGATGTTCCGCATAAGAGCCACAGGTCCCCTACTCTCAACCTTTAATGTCAAGTCAAGATAGCGTGGTAAACCTCTCTTCTCTTTTCAACATTCGCGAGGTAACTCAATAGTTATCCCCATTGTTGGCTGCAAGTTCTAGGCCTTGACTCGGCCTCCATATAACTAAGTTGTTACTGGTTAGTTACACGTGACCGAGCTAAAGCGCTCATTGGCGCCTAGGCAGCCGATCAAGCGCGCCAAAAGAGTTTCGCAGGTAAACACTTCTCCTGTTTGTTAAACCTCACATTACGCCTTCGTGTTGACCAGTTTCTGCTATTTGTCACTATTTCCGTCTGCTTGGAGTGATTTTCTACTAGGTATGTATAAAGCCCCGGCCAACTTCCACTACACCGGACCAGGAGGTTAACTATTGCACAAGAGAGTTCACTTCAAAGTGTAAACAAGCTCTCAGTCGACCATACCTGTGGAGCAAAATAGGGGCTATCTACGAGTACTCATACTCCCGAGAAACAGTAACTACAACTCCACAACTTATCACTCTAATCTACCATTATCATGGCTATTCCCCGACATGTCGCTCGGTCGGCCTCCCAACTATTCCTTCTCGACAAGGAATCACCCCAATACAAAGCATACCTGGCCATTGCAGACATACCCCATCCTGACAGGGCGATTCTAGGTGCATTCATTAAGAATGCATCTGACTCTGAAAAAGCTGCGCAATTTTTCCTTAATAAGATATCCATGGGTGACGGCTCTAGTCTACCTTCCAATAAGGCTGTTTATCAGTTTCTATCAAACTGGAAGATTCTAATAAACATATGTAAGTAATTTTTGTGGAAATCCTTGACAAAATTCATTGTTTTGACACAAGGTCTAGTTAGGCCGGTGGAGGCAACTTCGCTCCCCGACGAGGAGAAGAAGTTGGTATTCGAGCGGGATGGAGGCCGGTGCTGCCTTACCGGAATCACTTTTGAGAATCACCGTGCTGAAGGGCTTGTATACCTTCATATCGTCCCGCCCACTGTGTTTACCAGCAGTCCAGATCTATCTGAAGGGGTATGTGTACATGTTGTTACTTCATTATATTCAAACTAAAGCTAATGGATGTGCTAGAGTATTCTGTTTGAGCCTTTGAGTTACTTTCTATCAAGAGAACTATTGGATATCATCTACTCTCTAGAGAATGGACAGACAGACAAACTGGGCAACGTTTGGCTACTTTCTACCACAGCTTGGGACTATTTTAGAAAGGGAGACGCATACCTCCGGGTACAACGTGGGGATACCAAAACAGAATCTAATTTGAAGCAAGAGGTGAGTATTTGGACTTCATATTATGGCTAATGGTATTGACATGCAAAAGTATAGCGTCTTTCATAGCGGATTTACGCCTAGTCACCCCGAAAGTTTCTCCCTAGATCGTGGCGGCTCCATTCATATTGAGAATAGAAAACCTCATTTAACGCTTACTCCTAATAAAAATCTCTTTGCAATACACAGATTCTTCTCAAGACCATTGGCGTGGATGGAAGCTCATGAATATATGCAGAAGCGCCTAGCCAATGCTCCAAGTAAGTCACAAGATTTTCCCTTCGTCCATAAATATATTTTCCTCTAACTTGTACCAGAAAAGACCTCAACAGTGAAATCTTCAATCTCTCCGTTTTTCTCAATTTTCCGACAGCTCTGGACATCGCTACCTTCTTTTGTCAGAACATCCGTATACGACTTTTTAGCCCGGATTGGCCTCAAAATGTACCCACCTACACTGTCTATGACCGTCTATAAACTCCCGTTCGGTTTATACCTCCGCCGAGGATCACCATCCCTTGCACCAAAGTATCACGTTGAAGCGCACACCCTAAAAATGATAGAACAGTCAACCCATATCCCCGCTCCCCGGGCGATTGATGTTGCACAGACGTCACGATATTCGTATTTACTCATGACCTGCGTTCCTGGACGCCCCATTGGCCCAAGTTTGAACACAATGACTGATGAAGAGGTAGAGCAAGTCGTGGTTGATTTAAAGGGGTACATTTCTGAGCTTCGGAAAATACCAAGAGATCCATCTTCAGAATATCTTATATGTAACTCTCAAGGCGGTGGCTTCTTAGACTGGCGTATTCCAGACAGTCAGAATGAGGAGTTACGATTCAAATCCGAGGCTGATTTCAACAAGTACCTGACTGATCCTTTCTGGGAAGAGATCCGGACCCGTGCAGCGAAATCGCATGACACTCCCCATGGCATTGTCTTTACCCATGGCGATCTCAACCCAAGGAATATATTGGCGGAGAATGGAAGAATTACAGGAATTGTTGACTGGGAAAATGCAGGATGGTTCCCAGAATATTGGGAATATACCAAAATGCATTATACCGTTCGAGGTGTGGAACGTTGGCTTGTTGATGTAGTCGACAGTGTTTTTACAGGCTATCGGGAAGAGTTATGGGTGGAAAATATGCTTTCGGACCTTTTAGGTCCATTCTGATCTCTTCTCCCTTCCCTCATTGTCTATTCTCTCTGATTTTCAAGTCATATTGCCATGTCAGCAAGCCTCATCTCGGAATAGCTAGCATTTTGTATATCTCTTATTTTATTCCCCTCGCATGTAATAATCAAATGAAGCAAGCTACTAGTAGGTAAGAATTGTCCTGTCCTCAGGACCTTCTTCTAGGTCAATAAGTCTCATATATACATGATAATCACATTTCAGAGTACTTTTCTTGCACGTAATGGAAATGAGAACTCTTTTAGATCTGAGAATTCTTGACCTTGGCGATTTTCCCACCAACTTCCACGTCGTCCTTGTAACCAGCAGCAGCATCCAGCAATGTCTCCTCAATACGAGCTATGGATTTACTAAGAGTAATAATCCCATTTTTCTCTAGTGCGATGATGGCGTCCTTGACCCAGGTCCTGCAAGAAAAGGTCTCGCCAGTATTGGGAGAAGGATGAGGACCAGCTGGAATTCCGTTCAAGGTATCGATGCAAGTCTGCCAGTTGGCGTTGTTGACAGAGCCGATTTTATGGGCTAGGACTAGACTCAAGGAATATGGGACGTTTTTGGAAGGCCTTTGATCAAGTTTCCAGCCTCCCTCGCGGTTCGTGGCATGCCAAAGATGGCCATCGGGGGTTTTGGTAGGTATGAAGATGCCCCAGTGGAAGCCAGGGTTGGCACCACGGCTGCTGAGCATGACATAAATCGAGTAGTTCTCATACTGCTTGGCTATATCTTCGCGGGACATGGAATGAGAGGCCATTTTCACGTGAAGGTGACTTGAAAGAGCCTTCTAAGACTTTGTAGGTTGGACGGGGGGAATATCAGGTATAGGCAGAGGGCAGCTGTGACTGAGATGCTTTTTGGATGAGAAGAGGAAGCGAACCTACAGAGAAAGAAAGCCCCTTCTATAATGCAGTTTGAGGGGACTAGAAGTCCAGGCAGCAGTGCGGGGGTGGGAAGTATGCCTTGAATATCACTGGGTGGTTGGACAGAATGCGGGATAATGGCCAGGCTATCGTCCTGATAAAAGTGATGCGCCGCAAAAGGTACTTTCACCCTTGGTTACCACATCTGTCCAGGATGATCAATGAGGGGTTGAGACTCGGAAAGGCCAATGGAGGTGTTATTATCAAAGTGACTAAGCCAAAAGGGTGAATATACACCTGTGGACAAGATGAGGCTGTGTCTTTGACAGGTATTTATGCAAGGTGACTAGGCAGTAACCCCCTCCCCTCGGGTGTGATTGACATGGATTCAACCGACCTTGCTGGCGGAATTAACAGACCCATGCTGTACTCTGTCAGTTCCATGGGAGGTCCGTGTGGTGATTTTCGATGTCTATTTGTTCATCAATACATTGTTGATGCATGATGCTGATGCACTGCCTGGCAACATGCATAGAGGCAACAAAGTGAGGCTCAAAAACGCTGGGCCTGGATTTTAGTATGGAGGGGACATGGGTATCAGGGTATCGTATTGAGTTGGAAGGCCTCCATAGCTGACCATCGTGTGATATCTGACTGGTATACTTGGACAAACATAGCTACAAGCTCTGCGTGTAAGTAGTTCATCATCTTGTCGTCCTGAGGAGTTCAGGGATTGGCGAGAGGCGATGGTTCGCACCGAAACTGGACCACAGCTAGCGTCAAGCTGATTTGTAACGCTCCAACGGATAACCCCGCAGCTTCATCAGGCCATCCGTCTCTTGATCTCGCCATGTCGACTAGGATAAAGCCGTGTCGGATCCTGTTGAGCGGAACATTGCTGGTGGGCTGCCAATTTCGGTGGTGGAGCAAGCGTTGAAATTTTTGTTCCTCGGGTGACAAGGCCCGCCGCCTCATCCCCAGGAGTACCAGCATCCTGCTTCTAGATTTCCCCCAGAGAGCGCAAAAAAAAAAAAAAAAAAAAAAAAAAAAAAAAAAAAAAAAAAAAAAAAACTTAAAAAGCAAAGAAAAGCAACGAGAGATTGACGTTTGTTCCAGCATCGACCTTCGTGGCCAGTTGTATGGCATATTCATAAAAGAGAGACGGCTGGGCCGGTTTGAGCACGCAGGCATAATTAACTAGTTAGTTAATTGATATAGCTGCAGCCACCGTCAATCGTCCTTCTCAACAACCAACCGTCAACCGTCAACCGTCAACGTCAACGTCAACACCGACCCAAAGGCAACGTCTCTTAACCTTAGGTTATTCAGACAGTTCAGCGCAAAAGATGGCGTCTGGCGAGTCTGGCCGTCGCCAGTCGGTGTATAAGATCTTTGGAGAGCCGGTACGTATTAATGTCTGTTTGCTGTCTCGTCCCTTTTGCTGCTGCCACTGCTGCCGTCTTTGCTGGCTGTTGATCTGGTCTGGCACTCCTGCAAAAAGCCCACTTCGTCTCCCCCACTGTTCCCGCCAGTTTGTATGATTGCCATTGCTGCTGTCAAACTCGCAGCCTCGCCCTGTCCACGCTGCATCTGGTCTTCTTGCTGCTCGGATCTGCTGTCTTAGTCTTCTGCGTCTTCTTCGTCTTCATTATCGTCTTCTTCTTCGACGTCAGAAATCAAAAAAGCACGCCGCGGATTTCCTAATCGGGCAACCCTGGCAGCGGGCACATGACTTCGCGGGTTTGCCCGACAGAGAGCCGCTTTTCTCCGAGACTTTCCGACGTGGAGATTCGGAGGCGATGGCGATGGCGACGGCGACGACGAGGAGCAAAAGAGGGTACTCCATACAGAAGATGAAGAGCAGGACGGGGAGGGCGAGAATGGAGATGGGGGTGTCAAGCCACTTTCGTCAAACACTGCCTCCGGGAATATGGAGTCTGGAGATTGCAGGGTATATAATAGGGGAAGCCCCTTGAAGCCCCTTTTCACCAATACCTAAGGGAGTATACCTAGATACCACGGCCGACGGAAGAAGAAGAAGAAGAAGAAGAAGCAGACGAAGGCAGGAAGACAAGAAGACAAGAAGACTACCTAACAGCAAGAACACAAGAAATGCATGCAAGGAGGGAACTTCCTCACTGTGGACGACTAAGCAGATGAACAACCCGCTAGTTGTGTTGTGAATGCAGACTGCACAGAGGCAGCATCCAGCAGGGCTAACTATATCAAAGAAGCTACTCTATACCCAGACCTTCTGCTCTATACCCACTCCCTGTCTGTCTCTATCTTCTGTCTTTGATTCCGTTTCAACTCCCAACTTTCCCTTTGCTGTGCACTATCAAAAAAAAAAAAAAAAAAAAAAAAAAAACACCCCTGAATAATAATGGCGGCCCCAGTTAAAGCATCCTCTGCCTACCACCCATGTCCTGAAGAGTCCCCGGCTGCGCATGATGGCAAGCATCGTACTCTAGAACGTCTAGCTAACAACAAGAAGAACGACGATGCAAAGATATGTGTAGTTATGGTTGGCCTTCCGGCTAGGGGAAAGAGCCTTATCGCCGGGAAAGGTAAGATCATCTTCGATAGTACAATGTTTACACGAGTTAACGACAGGGCCTACAGCGCTACGTTATCTCTCGTGGATCGGTATTCCGGCAAAGATCTTCAATGTTGGGCAGTATCGCCGACAAGATACTCCTCGGCCTACAGCGGCATTCTTCGACACTTCTAATCCAGATGGGGAACGGTTACGTCGAGCAGCAGCTGAAGCCGCAGTTACAGACATGCTTCACTGGTTCTCAACGACCGGTGGACAGGTCGCTATCCTTGATGCTACAAACTCGACAAAGGAACGCCGCAAGTGGATCCGTGATGTGTGCCAGTCTGCTGGGATCGAGCCGCTCTTTGTTGAATCCAAGTGTGATGACCGGGAACTCATCATGAACAATATCAGAGAAGTCAAAACTACTTCTCCAGACTATGTTGGACAGGACCCGGAAGTAGCTGCCCAAGATTTCATGGAGCGGATTAGCAATTATGAAAAGGTGTACCAAACCATAGAGGAGGATGAGGATGTCTCATACATCCAGCTCATCAATGTCGGGACATCCGTGGTGATCAACAATATCAGAGATTACCTGTCTAGTAGACTCGTATATTACACCATCAACCTTCACATTAAACCCAGATCTATCTGGTTATCTCGAGTGAGTTTTTTTCGCCTCTGTATCTTTTACCATGGCACGGTCGACTAATACTAGAATTCAGCATGGAGAGTCTGAGTTTAACCTTTCAGGCCAAATAGGCGGAGATGCCAACCTGTCTAGTCGTGGTGAGGCATATGCCCGAGCATTACCCTCTCTTCTCAAAGAATCCGGTGTTCCCCCCGGGACCAAAATCGTTATCTGGACCTCAACATTGAAACGTACTATCCAAACTGCCCGTTTCCTCCAGGCTGAAACAGGTTACGACAAACTTGAATGGAAAGCTCTTGACGAACTCGACTCCGGAGTCTGCGATGGTCTCACTTACGAAGAAATTGCAGAAAGATACCCCGAAGACTTTAAAGCCCGTGACGACGATAAATACAACTACCGCTACCGAGGCGGAGAATCTTACCGTGACGTTGTTATCCGTCTCGAACCAATTATAATGGAACTCGAACGAAGCGAAAACGTCCTCATAGTTACTCACCAGGCTGTCCTCCGCTGCATATATTCTTACTTCTTGAACATGTCTCAAGAACAGAGTCCATGGATGGAGGTGCCGCTTCACACGCTGATAAAGCTTACTCCTCGCGCCTATGGGACTGAAGAGAAGAGGTTCAAAGCAAACATCCCTGCCGTCTCGACCTGGCGCGGCAAAGGATCGTCTGCAAAGCATCAGGAACCAGCTTGCCAGCCTGTAGCTAAGTAAGCTGGTGGTGGGCTTTCCAGCAGGAAGACGGATGCTCTCTTCTTCATTTGTTTCACCTCGCTCGGTTAAATTCCGCATGAAATAGAGTTATACACGATGTCGGCGTCGGATGGTATGTGGAACGGTCTCTAGTCAAAGAGGAATTCAAGGAACAGGCATACATGGTGGAAGGGAGAACTTGATTTAATCATATGAATTAGACTCCCTCTTGACGGTGGGGATAAGATATGGAAACCAAAGGCTGTTAAACGCCCTTACGTCGCTTCTCTACTCTTATGCTATCTATTTGACATAGCATTTATTTCTCTTAGCTAAGGAAGAATGGACTCCCTGGCCATGACTATAACAACTTCTCATGGATCTTAAGTTTCTCTAGTTAAACTAATCCAGCCCGAAAATTATTGAACTACTGTACAGTGTAGATACTTACTCTTTTGCCTCTTGTATATTGAAAAACAAACGGGGATGCAAATTGAAGGATCCATTGAAGGCATATGTCAAAGAAGAATAGATAGGTTTCAATTTTGAGAGTGGGAGTGATTGGCTGAAGCTTAAGAGGTAACTGGCCAATAGATTACTTACGCTCGACAAGCCGTTGCCCAATCAATAACGAGATAACCTTGAATGCCGACGTCAACAACATAAAGCTCACTTATTGGCCAGTGTTATAGTCAATATAGTTTCACGTGACTGCACTCCTGGTCTCCCCGGCCCGCCGTTTCCTGCAGCATGACATCTTGCGGCGAACGAGAAGCTTCAGCGACGCAGCAGCGGACAAGCGGAAGAAGACGAGAGACAGCTCGCCCAGAGGCCTCATGGACATAGCAGTGCAGTCCACGGGCGCCGGCGATACCATAAAACTACCCCATCCCTCTAGCCATGCTGACTGCATTCACGGCGAGGCCCCTCGTGGAGTTCCGACCTCGCGACAAGTCGAAGATAGAGTCCATCTTGACGTACGGCGACAGGCTGCTGGTCGGGCTGAACACGGGATCGCTGCGAATATACAGGGTTAATGAGGTGAACGTTGACGAAGCAGATACACGGGCTGGTGATGACACAGAGGCGCAGGATGGCAGTGGTGACGGCGGTGGTGCTATTCAGTCATCTCCAGCAACCAAACCGACAGATCTACTGCGAGAGCTAGAAAAATTCTCGCGATATAAGATCGAGCAGTTGGCGATTATCAAGGAGGCGAATATTCTCCTTTCCCTTTCGAACGGCCATGTCTCGATACACGATCTGCAGTCTTACGAGCTGCATGAGCAGTTAACTCGAACTAAAGGGGCTACCACCTTCGCGGTTACCTCCAACATCGAGAAGGATCAGGACACTGGGGTTCCGTCGATTGTGTCTAGGCTTGCTGTTGCGGTAAAGAGAAAGCTCATGCTATGGACATGGCAAGACATGGAGCTTGAAGATGATGCTACAGAGATAACACTTGTTAGCGGGATAAAGACCATCACTTGGGCGAACGGTACCAAGCTACTAGCCGGACTTAGCTCAAGCTATGTCCTTGTTGATGTTGTGACAAGAGAAGTTACGGATATTGTAGGACCTGGAAGCATTGGGGGGGCTGGCGGACCTGATACGGGGCGTCTGGGAGGAGTAGGTGCCAGTATGAGCTACATAGGCATGGGCGGAGCAACTCCTAAACCGCTCGCTACAAGATTGTGCGAAGGACAGATGCTACTGGCAAAGGATGTCAACTCACATTTTATTGACACGGATGGAAACGGCCTCAAACGACGCCAGATTCCTTGGACGGTGGCTCCTGAAGCTGTTGGCTACTCATACCCTTACCTACTAGCACTTCAGGATGCATCCAAGGGTATACTTGAAGTGCGTAATCCAGAGACCCTATCACTTCTTCAATCGGTATCCCTCCCATCAGCTGCCATGATCCATATTCCACAGCCAAATATCAGTCTTGCCCATGCAGGAAAGGGGTTTCTCGTGGCCAGTGGACGTGTGATTTGGAGAATGAGTGCTCTCGACTATGACTCGCAGATTGACGGCTTAGTAGAACAAGGCAATCTCGATGAAGCCATCAGTCTTCTTGGAATGCTTGAAGATGCCCTTCTGAACGACAAAGAGGGTAGACTGCGAGAGATCAAGCTTCGCAAGGCCCAGACTCTATTCGAAAAGCAGAAATACCGGAAGTCGTTGGACCTTTTTACAGAAGTTTCAGCTCCTCCCGAGATAGTTATACGGTTATATCCTAAACTCATTGCTGGAGAGCTATCATCTATTGAGGAAGAACCTGCACAGGAAAGTTCGGAGAGCTCAGAGGAGAATCCCTCTCAGCCTGAAAATGGTACCAGTATTCACAGTGCTGAACCCACGACACCCGATGACAAGCCGAAGGTTAAGAATGGGACTTATGCACCATCTGTAACCTCGTTTCTAAGAGGAAGACCAGATGATGCTAGCGAAACTGGTAGCATGCGTGGTAAACCAGCAGACCTGAAAGAACCAGACAAGCGGCTGGGTATGTATTCCATATTATCTTTTTTTCTTATACATTTACCACCTAACTAACCCAACTTGTAGAAGGGAAAGATTTGAAAGCAGCTGTCTATGAGCTGCAGGGGTTCCTAGCTGATATTCGCCGAAGACTCTCTAGATTTATCAGTCCCGATGGCACACTTAAGGAGCCCTCAGTCAACGTGGATAAATCAGACGAAACCACCCAATCTATGTTGAAGACCTTGGGTATCTCTTCTGATGATCTGGAAAACATCGACATGAGCCAGAAGTTGCAGGAGACAGCTACGTTGGTAGATACCACCCTATTCAGAGCCCTTATGTTCGCAACCCCTACGCTAGCTGGCTCGCTCTTCCGCATCGATAATTTCTGCGACCCTGAGGTAGTGATGGAGAAGCTAGAACAGACCGCTCGCTACGGTGACTTGATAGACTTTTTATTTGGCAAGCGCCTTCATCGCTCTGCCTTGGAACAGCTTAAGAAGTTTGGCCAAAAAGAGGCCGGACAGGAAATCTCGCCGGAACTCCAAGGCCCCAAACGCACAGTTGCCTATCTGCAGAATTTACCACCCGACATGATCGATTTGATTCTCGAGTTTGCTGAATGGCCACTTCGAAGTGATCCTGAGCTCGGCATGGAGATCTTTCTTACGGATACAGAGAATGCAGAGACACTGCCTCGTCAGAAGGTTCTTGAATTCCTTAATGGAATCGACGCAAAGCTCGCCATTAAATATTCAGAACACGTTATCCACGAGCTAAATGACCTGACACCAGATATACATTTCCGACTGTTAACACTATACCTTGAGCGCATCCTCAAGAGTAAGAAATCAAAGGATGTTTTTCCAACCGAGGATGAGCGAGAGGAGTGCAAGAACCGATTCTTGAAAATGTTAGAAACGAGCGAACAATATTCTCCTGCCAAAATGCTTGATCGGCTCCCAAGAGATGGTAAGCATATCTCTCCCTTTACTATCATACATTCATATTGATATGGAGACTAATTGCTTTATGGATTGATAGATCCGGAATTCTTTGAGCCAAGGGCTGTTACGTTGAGTAAGATGGGACAACACCGTCAAGCTCTTGAGATATATGTGTTTAAGCTGGATAATCCAGCAAAAGCAGAAGAGTGAGTTACTAGAACATTAATTATAGACATGAGCATAAGCTGACTGGTCCTGTGCAAAGGTACTGCAATCGAATCCATTTGGGTGATTCCACATCTACCAAGCAACGTGCAGTTCCATATGGTAGTTCTCCCGCAGTTGAGGACGAGGAGGCCCGCCCGTCTATCTACCATACACTTCTTTCCCTGTACCTGTCACCGCCACATGGTTATGAACCACGATATGGCCCCGCAATCGAGATCCTTGCACGACATGGTTCCCGGTTACCTGCCAGCTCCACTCTCAGCCTTATCCCAGGCTCATTGCCAATCCATGACCTCGAATTCTACTTCCGCAGCCGTATCCGTGCAGCCAACAGCATCTTGAACCAGGGTCGAATTATATCCTCGCTGCATAAGATTCAAAGTGCAGAAACAGAGGCAGCACTGCGTTTGGGTGACAATGTTGGCAGCAACAAAGGAAGAAACCGCTGCATCACCGTCAGCGAAGATCGGGTGTGCAGCCATTGTCATAAACGGTTAGGTGGGAGCGTTATCAGTGTGTTTCCAAAGTAAGTTCGACCGTGTCTTTTGCATCTCAAACATCTCTCACTAACATCTCGAACCACTAGTAATACGGTAGTTCACTTAGGCTGCGCCAATAGATTGGGCTCTACAACATAAATGGCGTTATAGAAGCGTGATGATTCCAGTCCACCCGGCGGCATAATGGCGTCTCGGTATCATCTTTGTTCCAATTCATCTGTTTCCTTTTCCTTTCCCCCGCTATGTTTCTGTAGATATTGCGTTGTTATTGGATACCCCCGACCTGCCCTGTTCACATCATAGTAAACATAATAACGAAACGAAGCTCCTAGTATGTTAATGCATCATTCATCGTCCATCACTCGTCGTCATCGACAACTTCCTCGCCATAGTTGTCTTCTTCTGTTTTGTCGTCTATTGTGGCGCCTCCTTGTGCGTCACGTAGCTTATCTTCCTCCATCTTCTCCGTAAGAAAGGCGTTGACATCCGCTTGTAAGGATACAATTGATCCTCGTAATTCTGCTAGGTACTTTGTTCGTTCCGCAGTGCTATTCTCGCCAGGTGGAGGGATAGAGGCAGAGAGCTGCCGGGTAAAGGTGTGCGCTGATGGCTCGGCCGTTTCTTGTGATGTGCGGGGAGCCTGGTAGACAGCTTTGAGAACGGGGTCTTTGCTTGCTTTGGGGTCAGAAGCCATGATTGAATCCTTGCAGTAACACGCTTAATTAGACCGATGTCAAGTCCCGTCTCTTCTCTCTTGTTATTTGATATGTTCGATGTTAAGATCGTTTTCGAGCCTTCACGAGCGATGGCGGGGCGGGGACGGCGGTATGTCACGTGATCATCTCTCAAATCCATAGCTCCCTAACCTCCCTTACCTCCCTTACCTCCCTTACCTCCTTAACCCCTAACTAACCCCCTAAGCTAACCCTTACCCTTCCCTAACAAGCTCAACCAAGTCATACATGGAGCAGCCTAACTTATAGCAGAAGCTGAAGCTCCGAAGAACACAAGCTTTATGAGCTCGCTGACCACTAGCACTCCCAAAGGTCTCGGTATGTAGCATGGTATGGAGGAACCTCAAGGAGCTAGTTACCCCACTAAAGATTCCTCCAGCCTGCATCTGTGAATCCGTGATTGCCATCAGTAAGTAGCACAAAGTATGGCTGAAGCTGAGTTTGACTCGCAGAGACGCGTCGAGTTGATCAACAGGATCGCTGCTGGTGCCGGTGGAGAGATTGATCAGCTTCTGTGGCCGTTTTTATGGCTGGCAGATCTCCCACCGCTGGACCTGATAACCTATCTTGCTGGGCTTGCGAAGAGACTTGAAGACAGCCAACTGCTGGTAAGATGTAAGCTTGTTCATGCTAATGTCTGTGCTTGGTTACTGACGTTTTTGGTTTCCTACTGTTTATACAGGGACCCAGAGAACTCGTGAACGTACACCCTCCCCGACGCCCTCTCCTGCGCCAACGATGTCAAGGCTTTCGGAGATGGCAGTACCGGGCGATCGGTCTGGCTCACCAACCTCAAGCGGAATGGGTACGCCGCGTACTCGTTCCGAAAAAGCAGCAGACCTGGTTAGAACCTCAAATTCATATGCTGAAAGACTTACTTCACCCTAACTAACTAGTTAACTATTCGCTGCTAGTGCCGTCTAAGAGACAGTAATAGATGCGTCGTGACTGGTGCTGACGATCCTGTTGAAGCGGCTCACATTTTCCCATTCTCCATGAGGGGATTACAGGCTCCGGATATCGTCAACGACACATACAATCCGTGGAGCGTTTTACGTATGTTTTGGGGCCAAGAAAGGGTCGACGCGTGGTATAATGCCATCACAGGCCCTGTGGCCACTGAGACCGTACAGAACCTTATGTGCTTGGCTCCGTCAGTTCACAAGTACCATGAGCGTGCTTATTTTGCGTTGGAGCCCGTTGAGGAGGACACCAAATCGCACACTCTTACGGTTCGTTTCCATTGGCTACCCCATATGGCCAACCTCCGCAGACTAAAAGTTGATACCCGTCCATCATTTCCTCGTGGTATTGGTTGCGGCCGCCGGATACGGCTGTGGGAGGTGGTGTCCGGCGACGAAATCATTTCGGGAACACTCATCAATATCACTGGATACGACGGGATTCCCCTCCCTGACCTGGCGCTTCTACAACTGCAATGGATGCTTCAACGCATCGTCGCCTTAGCTGGCGGCGCTGAAGTATTCCAGGAATCCAATGATGACGGTGATGACGATGATTACTCTGATTACCCTGAAGGCTAACTACGAGGACGATGATATGCATCTCGATCTGCCACCACCAGCGGCATCATCTTCGCGCAGACAACTCAATGCTAGAATGCTGCACTCCCCACCAGAACTTACACTTCCCGTCCGTTAATTTCTTCTTCAATGTCTACGCTCTTGCTCATTATTCTATCGTGGTATCCACTGCGATAAGAAACCCAGCACATACCCAGACGGGCTATGCCCAATGTATTCTAGTGTATTTTATTTTGCCTTTTTGAAGGCCCCTACATGGTTCTATGTTGTTTAATCCGAGAAGTTCTGCTCAGCAATACTCATACCTGCCCCTGAAGAGCTGAATTCATTGTCTATCGGCGCAATCATTCAGTAGCAAGTCGAGTCAGTATAGGAGCTACAGGGTTATTACAGCATAGTACTGGAGGCCCAAAAAGCTTTTCTAGGAAATGATATTGTAAGAGTGGAGTTTTAGCACTGAAATGATGATACCATCCCCGAGCTTAATTAATCTCTTTAACATCAATATCAATAAACATTGTCCCTGCTTTGCGGAGGTAGAGTTACCTCTGGACCAATAATCCAAGCATCAACCAGGCAATCAAAGAAAATGAAGCCGAGCTAAACAAGAACCGCATATGAATATTGCTTGATTCATTAAGCATTGTATTATGTCTCTACTCTGCATAAAAGGTCCAGTATTCGATACTATCGTCCCGCCGCTTCAAGGCTCTGACAATCTTATAACTAACTAGTTACACTAGAAGTGCCCCACAAGCTTCCATATCACATAACTAGCGAATACGACGGCCCTTCATCAACTTCATCAACTTCGCAGGAAACATACGAGATGAGGTATTCAATACAAACGGCTGGTTCTATACCTTGATTCACCGAAATCTACCATGTTAAGATGACAGCGGCCTCTCATAGTCACGAAGATGTCATTGTGGGAGGCTGAGTTCCCGTTTAGCACAGCCTCAGCCTCAGGACGGCTGCATATCACACATGCACGACGGGCGAGTTACAGCCAGAAGTATTACAGGGATGCTTGAGTCTGTGGAGAGCCTCGTTGCCTTAAAACCCCATGTGAACGCCAGCATTCTGTCATACCTTTCGTCGCCCTCGTCAATTGTCTTCAGGCTGAGATGTTGCAAAGGGCGACAGTTTGTTAATGCTCCAGTCATTTGGTTGCCATCTTCTCTCGCCCGGCTAGCCAGGCCAGTCTCAACCAGAACAGGCACCGAAGACAGTTGATCCTCCTGGTCAAATGGATCCAGCATCAGCCTTTGGCATCGTTACTGGCGCTATGCAAACGGTGCAGATTATTGGCAGCACAGTCCAAGGTCTGCGTGCTTTGCAGGGTAAATATGCCGATGCGGACATGACAATTCACTCGCTTATTGTTCAAGCCGCCACAATAAAATCTGCCATAACGCAGCTCCAGGACTGGGCAACTTATGGTACTGGCCGGGCGGAGCATCCAGACTATTTGGATGGGCTGGATATCGCCATAGATGGATGCAAAACAAGCATGGAATGCCTCCTTGCTCAGGTTTCCAAAGTCACAAGTGTTCTAGATGCTAGAGAATTGCCTGAATTACGAGTTGCGGCGAAGATTCGGGCAGTCTGGGATGACCATCTCATGCAGGATTATCAGCAGCGGCTCCAGTCCCAAGTCCTAGCGTTGAATTTTCTATTGCAGGTCTGCCAATGGTGCGTTTGAAATCAGTATCCGCTCATTTACTCAAAAAGAAGGACTATGAGTTAACACATATATCCCTTCTAGTCGTACTGTAACGGAGCAAGTTGAGCTTTTGCGGCGAGAAGAGAACAGACAGTTGCTGAAGAAAGTTGCAGATGATACCGTGACCCTGCGGAGCTCGGTTAAGCAGCAAGCAGACCTATCTACAATGAGTATTTCTCAATCAACAATCAGCGAGACGGCTTTAGATGTGGACGACATCATAGTCAATGCAACTGCGTACAGAAGAGCGCTAGCACATAGCCGTTCAGCCTCAAATCGAGCTCGTACGGAGGAATCGAATCATAGTACAACAGGTAAACCGCAGACTGCGGGGTCCGCCACTACCGATGAAGGCTATGCTAGTGGAACCGCCCGATCGCAGTCATTTAAGGGCATAAATACTCTCTCCCCACCTAATACATTCCTTGAACCACCAGCGGAGGAGCTGTCGCCTCAGGACCAGGGAGAAATGGGACGAAGCGCCTCAATGGCTGTAGGGAGGACGTCAACGAAGCCCACAAATCCTGTTATGCGAAGATGGCAGTCAAACCCAATACCTCTTCACAAGTCTGGCTCAAAACGAGAAAAGATTCGCCAGGTCCTTGGAAAGTTAGATACGTCAAGCCGAAGCAGCCTCAAAAAGACATCGCCACGTCTGGGGCCAAAGTCTTTCGGCTCCTTTTCTCCCATGCCAGAGCGGGGCGCGGCACCAAGATTTGATCGGACTCGTTCAAATACTAGCATTGATCTTTCTTCATCTGGTAGCGCGTCTATACCTCCTATCATAAAAGCCGCCCAATCTGGGTCACTAGTCCAGGTTGAAATGCAAATTGGTGAAGGAGCCGATATTGATTGTCATCACGCACTCACTGGTCGAACAGCCTTGGCTGTTGCCGCTCACTGTGGTAATGAGGAAGTAGTTGACTACTTGCTCCAAAAGGGGGCAAGGAATGATACCCAGGAAATAGATGGCTCGACACCTCTCCATCTGGCAGCCTCCAGGGGCCATACTGCTGTTATCCAAGTTCTCCTCTCAGTAGTTGAGAATGTGGACGTAAAGGATGGCTTGGGCCGAACACCATTCTGGGTAGCTGCTGATGGAGGTCATATTGATGCAACACGGATGTTTCTGGGGGCGGGCTGCAAAATAACAGCTAGAGCCAAAGGGCAGATGACAGCCTTACACCAAGCAGCAATCCGTGGCGATGGCGAGATGGTAGCATTTCTTCTGCAGTCTGGTGCAGATATTGAAGCCAAAGATGCCAATATGAAATCCGCGTTTCACCATGCTTGCGAGAATAGTCAATATTCCCTTTGCCGCTCCCTTTTTCAGTACAAAGCCGACATTGAAGCCATTGAAATCAATAAGAGAACACCACTAATCTGCGCAGCAATCGCAGGCGATGTGCGCATAGTGGAGTATCTGATTGGGAAAAAAGCCTATATATTGGCTACAGATGAAGGCGGAATGAACCCGTTGCATGCCGCGGCTGCTAACGGCCATGTTGAAGTTGTCCAGTTGCTACTAGAGAAGAAGATCTCCATAACCTCTACGAATAAGCTCGGGATGACCCCTTTACATCTTGCCGTCATGTCTAGGGAGTTTGCAGTTGTTGAGTTCCTACTACGCAAGGGAGCACCCACAGAGGTTAGAAGTTCAGGCGGGTTCACACCGCTTCACTATGCTTGCGACCTGGTAGATATTGAGATAGCTCAGCATCTTATTGGGTGTGGAGCAAGCATCGAGGCTCAAGGAGAAGGACAACAGCGACCAATTCATATCTCTGTGGCTAGGGGTTCGATGGAATTGGTTGAACTGCTCTGCCAGAAACAAGTGGAAGTAGACGCTGCTGATGCGTCTGGCACACGTCCCTTGTGCATAGCTTGTCGTAAGGGCAGTGCGTCTATAGTTGAACGCCTCTTGAATCAAGGCGCAGCTACGTCCTGCTCGAGCTCATGGAATGGCACTCAGGAAGAACACTCGCCCCTGGCAATTGCATCGAGAGCTGGTGACGTGCGAATAGTATCCCTTTTGCTTGGTAAGGGGGCATCTGTTGAGCAGTATGATGGAAGGGGCTGGAACCCTCCGCTGTATGCAGCACACTATGGACACGTAGAAGCTCTGCGTTTGCTACTGTCTAGGAGCAACTCTCTTCTAAAGATAAAGCTAGGACAAATGTTCTCACAGACTGGGTTCCATCCGCGTCTTTCAATACCTGCAGAAACTGCGCAGGCAATTCAAAGGCTTGTCTATGAGGATGCACAGCCACTACTCAGCCAGAGTATCGGGAGCCCTAGAATGATGATGAGGGATGTCAACGATTTCAGTGGTCATAATAGGGGTATGCAGATGCTTCAATCCTTGCACCAACCTCCTTCCTCCACGATAACTCCACCAATACCGTCGTTTCCACAGACTGCCATTGAACTCCCTGCGTTCGAACCAATTACCCTACCCGGTCGTGGATCTTATGGATCAATCGAGCCGAGCAGTGGGGGCGTACAGCAGGATCAGCCGCCAGACATACGGCCGGGCTTATTCGAAGCGCCGCAGAATACCGCCACGCGAAGTAGTGGTGGCCCGTCAAGCAACAATCAGAACAGCCATGTCTCCATAGAACGCCCCCATGTTAACCACGGCGAGCAAACCAACATTGTCTCTGCCCTGGGAGAACCCCTGCCCACAATACCCAGCCGAATAGCCACACCACTGTCAATATTCGAGTATCCTCGCCATCAGCCGCCATCTCAGCCCGTTTCCCAACCTCAGGACCTGCCGCCACGAGACATTTCAACCCGTCAAGATGTTGGAGTCTCCCCCCTTGATACCTTGGGTAGAAATGCTACCGTTAGCCCTGCACCAGTCGTGCCAGCCGAACCGTCCAACAACCAACCCCAACCGCGGTATACAGAAGAAATATATAGACAATCACTGGAAGACGAGTCCGATAGTGGCCTCGAGGGTGACTCTGATAGCGAGTCTGCCGTTTCTGTATACACTGCTCCGGAATCGCTAGACCCTGAGATACCTGAGCTACCTTCTGCAGAGCTTGGAGCTGCTATCTATGAGCTAGACGGAACCAGCATATCAATGCAGGGCGTCTATATACCCTAGACAGGTAGGCTTGATGGTGTCTTGTCCAATGCTGTCAATTTAATGTCATCTCTAGACTCTGTCAGACCAGATCTATATATAAATAATCACTCGTAGACTTACTTCCAGCCTTCTTCTCCTCTATATTGTCTTCTACCCGTCTTCTATAATATCAACTCTCTAGTGTCCGTCTTCTATAATCTCAGCTCTTCATCTCGTCTTCCTCGTCTTCAACTGGCTGACTAAGCTTGTCTCTGACGTCGACGTCAACGAGAAAGACAGCAAAAAGACAGCCAGAAAGACAGACAACGAGACGCCCAAGACGACGACGACGACGACGACGACGAAGCAGACGATGGAGTGACGACCAGGCGAAGATGAGCTTCACGGTCGACGACGAGACTGCGGTCCTCCAGGTTGCCCGAGCCCGAGTCGACTGAAACACGCCGCCTGCCAGACAATAACTGCCTAACTAACTACCACCGCCGTTAATATACGAGCTCGCCCCCCAACGACCCGGAGGACAGCATCATGAAGCCTGCGACCTCGCCGAAGTGGCCCCAGGACCATCCTCCGCTGCCTCCGCTGCCCACAGAGCCGCCGTCGCGGCCGGTAGACCTCCAGGCGCGGCGGTCCAGCTCGTCCGGCAGCAGCGCCGCCTCCTCGACCACCTCCAACCAGACAGCGCTCAACGTCTCGAAGCGGACGCTCTACGGCCTCGCCCAGCAGCAGCAGCAGCTCGACCAGCAACTGCCGCAGCCGGTACGACCTCCCGCGATGGCGGCGGGCAGCGTCAATGGCAGCAACACCTCGCTGGCGCTGCGGCCCCAGAACGAGCCTGTCCAGCGGCGGGCGTCGCCTCTCGCCCAGGGCCCATCAGCCTCCTCATCCTCAGACACTCGAGGTTTCCGTTCACGCCACCATTCTCAGGGCTTCTTCGAGCCTTCGCTGCCGACGGCCTCCCAGAGCTCTTCTGCTGCGGTCTCCGCCTCGCGGATTGCGGCCCAGGCGGCGATGCAGCACCAGACCGACCACCAGCAGCAATACCACCACATCCGAAACAGATCGCAGACAATACCCCCGCAACAGGAGAGCGGACTCGCAGCCAGGAGAGGCGCCAGGGATTCGCCTCCCCCAATCCAGACGAACAGTCTTCGGCCGCCGCTTTCTGTGCCTAGCCAGTTGAGCTACCAGAGCAGTCCTGGCGGAGGGCGAGCCGCGGGGGCCGCAACAACGGCTGCCAACGTCGCCTTTCCCAGGACTCCTGCGCCACAGAGTGCGCTGCCGTCGACTACGAGCAATACAACGACAACGATAACCGGGGGGGCGTCTGACCGCGCTGAACCTGGCGGGCAGAAGGAGAAGCAGAAAAGTGAGAAGTCCAAGATGAAGCTGTTCTCCAAGCCTAAACACATAGGCATGTCCAGAGACAAAGAGGACAAGAAAGAAAAGACCATGCCATCCCCCAGTAAGCTTGCATCCAGGCTTGTTAACGCGTCAACAGTCAGTCTGAATGATCCTACTGGTGGTGTTGCTGGTGCTGGTGCTGGCGCAGGTGGTGATATCAATATCAACAATAGCAACAATGGACTCTCCACAAACAACCTATCTCTCTACTCTCTGGCCAACTCCTCTGCCACCACTGTTGTGCCTATTGAGAGACACTCGCTGGATGAGGACCGAGGCAAAGAAAAGGAAAAACACAGACACCACTTTCTCTCGCGCCAGAAGCTCAAGCTGAAGGACAAGGACGACTTCCACCTGCCCCTGTCCTCGGCCAGCAGCAACTCCCGCCCCCTGGATCCCAGTGCGCCTCAGTCTCTCTACTCCTTTGCGCCCTCGTCTCCGGCAGCTTCGACGTTTGGCAAGTCTATGAGCGGCCTTGATCTCCGACACGGCGGACGAGCTTTGAGAGAGAAGAAAAAGGAAGAAAAGGCCTCTGCTGCTGCAGCCGCCGCCGCTCAGGCTCAAGCTCAACAAGACGCGATGATGCGTGAAGGAACCGATCACCCGGCTGACTGGTCCGGTGCTGCGTCGGTCACGGGCTCTACCGTCACCTTTGGAGGGCCATCGTCTTCCGTGGGCAGTACCCAGGGGGCCGGTATCATGCCTGGAAGCAACGCTGCCATCCAGGAGATTCTGCAAGGCTTTGGGCTGCAGAACATGACGCCTGATGATGCCTGGGACTTCCTCAAGGCTAAACTGCTCGTCCTGTTTGAAGGAGAAGACGTCCGTATTGCGTTGGAGGACCTGAACAAGTTGGTCAGAGTCCATATCCATTGCTGTGTCCAGAAACATGCACCCCATCAGGTCGTCGAGGACCTCCGCGACCTGCTCCAGACCGGCTTTGCATCTCTCAACTACTCTCTCGCCAAGGTGCCTGAGGAGAATATTATTCCACATCTCGTCAACGTCTGGGTCTTTGCGTTTGGCAACGTTTTGCCTTTTATCCAGGCCACTTTCCTGCCCCTGGACCTTGAATTCAAGGGCCACGGCTCGATCATGAACTCCCGCGAAGCAAGGGAGTTCTGGGGTGCTCAACCAGGTGCAAGCGATGCTTCTGCTTCTGCCGGCGACGCCCTGGATGTCCGCAAGATAGTCCTCACCTCATTCCGCGACAACGTCATCTTAACCCGCTACGACGTGCTCAAGGCAGCCTTCTCTCGCCTCAGCCTGGAGAAAATGAACGCCAATATCAACGGACCACCAACCGCTACTCTACACAGCTCCACGACCGCCAGCGCCAGTCGACCCAGCACCGCTGCCGGCTACGAGACTAGTGTCGGTGGAGGGAGCTATGCCTCCCAGCCGTCTTCTTCCCATCTCAACGCCGGTAGCTTCTCCTCCGAATCAGCCATTGCATCTCTCACCCGCGCGCGCGCGATATCAAACACCTCTTCCAACCCAGAACACACCTACCCGTCTTCTTACTCTTCTTTCTCACCATCTCAGCCTTCCATCCTCGCGCAAACCCATTCCCACTCAACCAACATTCCTGCACCTCCTCAACCCCCACCCACAGATCCCTCACACGTCACTGAGACTGCCGGCCGTATGCTCCAATGCATCTGCGTGCTAGCCAGCGTCCAAAGCGACGACGACGCTCAGCAGAAAATAGAAGAGCTCAGCAAAGCACTCAAGCATAACTGGCTTGGTCGTGGCCGAACGGGCCGTAACCGTCGAGGATTCGTCGGTACCAAGATTCGTCCGCCTCCACCACCCCGCCAGGACACCAGCGAGGAGCTGGCCGATCATCAGTCCATGGACGAGACCCCGCGAGGCACAGATGCAACTGGATGGTGAACACTGATTCACTAAACGCCAGAATTTTTGCTTTTCACCTCACCTTCCATCTCACCTCTCCACCTCACCTGTTGGCCACCAGGGCCGTGACGAAACCGTCAGGCTCCAACTTCTCTGTACTGTACTGCATTGCATTCCCGGGGATTTCGAACTTGCGTTTCGACTTTCTTCATCTGTTTTTCAATCATTATTTTTTTTCTCCTATTACACGGATGGCGGGCATGGGTTATTCAACTTTCAACTCTTTTTCTCTTCTCCTTACGAGTGGGCTGTAGATTTTCCCGGGCATCGTTCTTTTTCCGTGTATATATTATACCCTTCCATGTTTGCTTCTTCTTTTCTTCAAGCTTCATGTTACTCTGATCGGAGCAGGCCTACAGGTTACAAATGAATGAACGAATTTTGACTTGACTTGATTTCTTGGTCTCGGTACATTAGATATCATTTTGGATTCTTGACTTCTTGACCTCGTGATACCACTGACCTCCTAACAGAGTACATCACATCAGCTCATCCCACCAACTAGTGAACTAGTGAGGTGAGTTTACTGAGACGAAAAGGGGCACCAGATGATGTTGATAGCAGCTCCGGCCTTCTCAGCAGCACCACCCTTGGGACCGCCATAGCACTTGTTAACGACATGGTTTCCGAGACGACGGCAGGCGGCTTCAGTCTTGAACACGCCGAGATGACCGATCTGGCCCATGGCGCCGTTATCACCCTTCCATGGACGCCAGTTGGTGGTGGTCTGGCGCCAGTTGTTCTTGCAGTAGGTTTTGATGGCGGTTCCGAGACGGGCTTTGGTCAAGCAGCTTCCGCTGGCCTTTTCGGAGAAGCAAGCAGCGCCGAGGACGGAGTCGACGAAGATGCTCATGAGAGCAACGAGGATGAGGCTGATGAAGCGCATTCTATGTCTTGTTAGAATGAGGATGAATCAAATGGGGTAAGGGGATACTAACTTGACGACTGGAACAGTAGCTGTCTTTGAGAATTAGCAGTCAGTCTGGTGTCTGTTGATGATGGTGATGGTGATGATGATAATCTGACAGAAACAGAGAAGCTCATGGGCCTTTTTATATTCATCCGTCCTCCATACTAGGCATCTGGAGATACAACCTCCGTCCTGTCTGTCGCATCCTATCGGTCGCAGGTCTCAATTTTGAGAATACTTCACTAGTTATTTCATTCTGGCCTGTAACTATGGCCCGAATGTACTCCGTACAAACATCAATATTCGACCAAGTGACCTGATGAGGATGTATCTGGCCATTGACCTGCAGAGAACTAAACGCCATGGCAGCCTACGGGCCGTGCCTCCATGGAGCTATAGGTTATTCCAATTAAGCGATGCAGATCCCTGGACAAGATCTTCAAATCGATACAGACACCTCGTTAGCAAGCGTGTGTTATTGGACAATGCTTTATTCTTTTTCTTCTATCGATATTATACAGGTGGCTGTTTGTTCAAATTTGGGATCACATTTGTGGCTGGCTGTAGGTATGTATTTGCTATGCGAACAACTGGATAACTACGATACCAGACTGGTTCAATTGCAGCAGGTATTTAATCAATACATGAGCAGTGAGTACGAAGGCAACTGAAACTTAAAAGATGCAAAAGCAAGACGGGAAAAGGACATGCCATCAGTGAGAATTGATGAACAACCCCCTCTCCAGCAGGCCAGGATGGCGCCTCCTAACCCTACGACGAGCACGGATCTTGATTCTGTCACGAACGCCTCCCCTAGCACCGTACCGTTCTAGGAAATATCCAGGGATCTGCACCGATGGCATACCGTCCAGAAAGAGCGGTATCACGCCCAGGTATCGTACGAGATATGCCCGATCAGAGCTCCTTAGCTGCTCAAATAGTGCCGTCATCAGGGTATTGAAGTCCTTGTGGAAACACAAGTCAACAAACTGCAACGACACAGTCAGCGGAGCATGCAGTGCCATCTCCCTGCGATTCCGGGCAATAAAGCTGCTCATGCCGCGGTGCAGGGAGACCGAGGCCTTGAGAACGGCATCGTCGAACAAGTATGCGAAACAAGCAAAGTATTCGAGCACCCTGGCCCAGTCGTAGCGGCTGTGAAGGAGCATCTGGTCCAGGTTCTCGCACAGGGTCGAGCCTGGATCATGCAGTGGATGGCGCTGGTGGTCTCTCAGGACGCGGACAAGAATGTCCAGACACTCCCGGAAGCGGGAGAGAGGGAAGTACAGCGAATCGACGAGCCGGCACCGACGCACGGCGGCGGTCAGGTCGATGTCTACCGTCAGCCTGCCCAGGGCGGACTGGGAGGTGGCTGGCCGGCGGGGGCAGTCCCGCAGATGGGGGATGTGGTGTATCACCGTGGCATAGTCGAGCGAGCCCGGGATGCGGTAGCCGTCAATGCAGATGTTGTAGTAGGCGGTTCTCCCACGAGGGAACAATCTGAGAGCCATGCTCACTCACTCTGCGCCTGGTTGTTTATATTTGGGTTCTTCTGCTCCTCTGGCTACCTGGCAGCTACGCAAGAGAGATAGGAGGTATATATAGCCCCGTCCGGCCCGCCGTTTGACAGCCATGCTGTCTTGTCCATCCCCAGCGATCAAAGAAGGGCGGTTGCAAGCAGTGATATAAGGATATAATGGCACAATGGGATGGTCAGGGCCGGCTGACTGCAGCAAGCAGACGGCAGCAAACACAGCAGGGCATCTCTGAGAAGAGATAAAGCAGCCATTTGTTTGCCACGACCAATCTGTTTGCTACCGCCGGCCTTAACCATTAGTTATAGCAGAGAGACATCCAAAGCCAAAGGACACAGATGCAAAAAAAAGCCTGTGCAATCCCTCCGGGCAGCCAGGCCCCTGGACGCCTTTTGTTATTTCCAGGGAGTCTTGTACCCGCCTGAAATGTGACTTTGGTTGGGGGGTGAGATTTGTCTCGTTTGTTTGTTTGTTTGTTCCGGAATTCCGGGAGATTCGTTCAGCCGAGTGAATTCGGGCTTGTCGTTGGTTGTTCCAAGACTGTTGTTGGTCGTTGGTTCGTTGGTTGGGGGGCGACGGGCGGTGGGCCGTTTGGGCCGCTTCCGTGTCTTTTTGGGTTTTTTCTGAGGGTGAAGTTTCGACCGCGGCCGCTGATTTGGCGACTGCGGGAACACCGAAGGCCGGGGGGATCGAACTGGTGGCCTCCTGCGTTTAATGCGCAAGAACGAACTTGCAGGAGGCGCGTCGTATCCTAACCAGCTGGACCAGAGACTTGCACAGGCGGGAAAAGGGCGGCGAGGGTGGGCTAGGTGGGCAGGGCATCGTCGGTTTCGACCAGCCCCTAGCCCCTTTTTCTGTCAGGACAACACCGAAGAGCAACATCTACAGCTCTCTGCATACAGATGAGATCAACTGGATCACATCCGGATACTTAAGTCCTGACCTGTTACTTCTCTTCTCCTGTCGATGTTCCCAACATGATACCCTCGTCAAGCAACTAACCAGTCTTTAATCTTCATAAGAGCCTCTCCATCGAACGGTGGGTTCCAGGTTTTTTAATGAGGTCATCACAGATTGGACAGTCTTGTCGCAGGGAGGCCCGACAGCATTTTGGAGTGCTCTAGAGAAAGCTGTTGGAGTATGTTGCGATGTCTTCGTAGCAGCCGCTTTGAGATATACCGCGAAGTCTTCTACTGCTGACCCTGCATATTCCTTCTCCTCGTCTGTGTTCGAGGAGGGACATTTTGAGCATCGTTGCAGCTCTGCTGAGAAGGCATCTAGCCCGCTGCTGGCCCCTAGAAAGGCGAAAAGTGCTCGAGAAACATGGAACTCGAGTGCGACTGTTCATATTTACATCAGCTGTACAGGCATGGCTTGTTTAATACTTTGTCACCGGCTCGCGATGTTCAATTAACTAGCTTGTTGAAAATGGGTTCTGCTCAGTTTTGTAGTTCAAAATCCAATGGCTGGGCACCAGGTTGAGTGTGAGTAGTCATCTAGATAGTGAATGCCACAGCAGGAGCTTGCAGCCACTTGGGTGCGCTGAGTTGCTCATTTATTCAACGTGATCCATCGATCTACTATGTCAAACCCTTTTGCTCAACCACCACGACAAGCCTTCGCTGATTTATCATTAATTTAGAGGCTGTTTGAAAGCTTGATTTTTTTTTTTTTTTTTTTTTTTTTTTTTTACTTTGGCAGCTTCAAGGAAAGTTCACATACCGTCATTGATATGGCATTAAGCCTTGCTTCGATAGTCACCTACGTAGAACCGGCCATAGCAATAATAATTAATAGTAAGGGTTACTTGAATAGAGCGCTTTGAACATAGCTATGGCATCGATTATAAAATCTATGGAAGGTAGTAAATATTAACGCGGGGTCATGCCTAGCCACCTGTGGCCCTCAAGAATAGAAGTAGTTTAAGCTTATGCAACCCAGATTTTGTTCGCCTATTAAAACACGATCTTTCGCTTTTATCACAGTGTATCTCCGCCAGTTACGAAGGCTTAATCAATCTTGCAATCTTAAGGAGCCTCTTGGGATCCCCACTTTGTCCTCTATGTCTTTGACGATAAGGTCCATAGGTGCGATTAATGTAGTCCCATCGGCTTTGTCACCGGCAAAAATCATTCCAACTACTTGCCCAGACATATTCAATACCCATGCACCCGAATCCCCGTGTTTTGCAAAAGGCATGTTCTCGTTCACAATTACCCAACCGCGGTGGTGCAGGCCGGCAGGGAAACCTGATATGCGTAATGCAGCATGTACAAGTCCACTTAGTATTCCAGATGTTGCGCCTGTTGTGCGACCCTTCTTCACAACTGGATTCTGGGAATTGGGTATGGGAGCTCCTTTAATAGCAAACTGAGTTTCTGGTTTCCATAAAGGTGTATCAGCAGGTGCGGTTTCAGCAATGTAGTTTAATGATTTCCGTCCATTCTTGATATGAACGAGAGCCCAGTCCATCAAGATCAAAGGTGAACCAAGCCCCGAATGTAGGGATCTATTTTTAAGACCTGATGTGGCAACCACGGTTCCAATGTTGGGATTGAAGGACCGGATCTCATTTAACTCCCTCTCTCTAGCTTCATTAGCTTGCCTTCCTATCTCCCGGTACACCTCACTCCTCACTCCAGTATTTTCTGAGGGTGAGCCCATCTTTTGCGTGATATAAGCAATGGCGGCCTGTATATCGGAGCCTGAGGGGGATTGGCATGGAAAATTGAGGTTATTGGATCCAAATCGTTGGATGGCTTGTGATCAATTAGTACACTATCTTGAATAGCAGTAAGGTCACCAATGGTAATGTAGTAATAGAGTTCGCACTTACCGGAGTCAGCTTCACCATCAGGGCCTTTTCCGATGACATGGTAACAAGTTAGCCCAAGGAATTGTTCGCAACCAGCAGCGTCTGTAAAGCACAAGTAACCACCCAGCGTTCCTGTCATATTTGGGGTATCGGCTCTGGCTATACTCATCCCCATTAGATTGTAGATGTTTGTGAATGGCCACCCAAGGCTGGGGTTTCCTGAGTCTGTAGATGGTGTCTCAGCAAACGCGCCCCACATAAGATCAGATCTCACTATTTCAACTTGAAGATCAAATCGTTCGAGGACATTGTCGATGTCAAAAGCCACTCGATCACGCGTAGAGATTGCCAACGCTCTTGATGGGATGGATGCTTTGATCACTATCGTATTGACAGCAACTTCTTCCCAATATCCCCTCTTTAGAAGCATTATTGCTTTCCAGTTTGTTTGAATGGAGTCCAGACGGCGAATGATGACCGATTGTATTTGCTCCCATTCTTGGACTAGCTGGTCTGGTGTATTGGGGGAGAACGTTTTCATGCCCCCCAAGGCTCTATGGTCAATCATCTCTACCCTCCCAGTAAAGTGTAAGGGCTCTATTGCTGAGAGTATATCATCTAGAGCCTTCACCCAGTTGTCATTGGATGGAGTGTAAAGGGAGATATATAGGGTATTGTCTGCTGGGCTCGGGTTCAGGCCTTCAGAGTACCGCCGGACCACCATCAAACGGTGGTAGCTCAACTGGTACCTCCCAAGGTATTCCAACGCAAGGTCCATTAGTCGTTCACGAAACTGCTCAGATAATCCTTCGGAGACGCCCATCTGGACTGGCCAAGAAGGCAGCAGTCCGGGACCACCCATTCTAAAGGCATCCTGGCTTGAAATTCGGGAACCAGCAGAGGTCATTAAGCCATCTCCAGACCACCCTCCCCGCTGCCTACTACTAATGCTTCGAGCAGGTGGGGGAGTTGGGAGCATCTTCGAAACGGATTGAAAGGGATCATCAGGTGGTAGGCAGCTTTGAAATGCTCATAGAATAATATTGGGACAGGTATTTTTGGAAGGGAAGGAAGTGGGTGAGATGAGGATTTAAATAATTTTCAACTGAGCCATGTCGGTAGTTTTAGTTTCTGGTTCCTTTATTCATCAAGCTTAGAGTGAAGTCGATGATGACACCATCCTAGGTTCCTCTGGTAGCTCTAGAACAGCAAGGCTTAATCCATAAAACGTTGCAAAAAGGATATAATTACTACCTCGCAGTAGTATATACACTCTTTTTGGGAACCCTTTACCTTATCTTAGATACTACTCACCTGGAACCACCGCTTGCTGCTAAAAGATGTCGACTTCTTCGGCTGTCGCGTTAAAATTGAGATTACATAAGCATTCTGAACCTTAACTCCGCGGGAAGTGGGTCCCGTGATTTAAGTTTTCCCAAACGTCGAAGAAATTTAACGTCAACAAACATCAACATCAACATATCAACATATCAACATGGAAGATACCAAAACAGAAAAGAGGGTGGAAGAAGGAAGATACCCATCACAGTTTTGCTACGAATAAGCTACTTGAGAAAGTAGTGTTTTGATGATGGCCAGGTATATGACTATACCTGTACCGACATGGGCGGGCTTACCCAGGGTATTTCGGCTCTTATACTGTTTAGCTTCCCCTGTTACTGCAAGATGATGTTATAGGCAGAAGAACTCCATAACATTGTTCATAAAAGGGAACTCTCACTTTAAGATGTATGGGGTACTTCTTTTGATACACGGCCATGTTAGAGCACCTCAGTTAAGAGACATTGAACAGCCGGAGAAGTGAAGTCTGTTCCATTCTCTCCGTTAATTGGGTGGTAGACTAGCTCTCTCTTGCTTCTCAGATTTAGGGAAGTATCTTTGCTGGTCTCAGTTTTTCTTTATCTGTCTAGAAAACTCTGAAGTAGGATCGTGTAGCGTTCAGCTACTGCACTATCTAGGCTGCGGAATTTCCTCCTGCGTTCTCCTTCTTCCTTTTCTTCTTTTTCTTCTCTTTCTTCTCTTCCTTTTCTTCTTCACGCCTTCTTCTTAACAACATCATCTTTCCATTCTCTCTTGGTAGAAAAACTCACAGAAATACCATTATCAACTATCTCATTGCCTGAAAACCAACCTGATCTTCGGCAAAATGCCTGAATTTACCCCCCTGAACAATGTGGAGACCGAACCTCTCGACGTCAAGATGGAAGACGCGAGCGAGGGCGAGGTTTCTGAGGACAAGACGTCCACTCCCGGCTCTGAGATGTCCGAGGAAGCGCCTGAGCCCACGGACGCCGACGACGTGAAGGCTGAAGATGACGAAGACGAGGCGCCTAAAACCCATGTCGCCAACACCAAAGCAACCAAGGGACGAGGTGCCGGTGAAAAGAAGGCTACTAACGGGGCAATCAAGACTGAAGAGGTTTGTTTTGGTTCATGTATCTCAGGGCAAATACTGTAATGATGTCTAACATTGAATATAGGAAGCCAAGATCCCCGTTACTCCTCGCAAGAGAGGCCGCAAAGCCAAGGCTGGCGATGCAACCACCGCCGCCACTGCCGAAGAGGCTGACGACGAAGCGGAGACGCCATCTAAGAAGAAGCGCGCTACCCCTGCCAAGGGCACTCCTAGCAAAGCCGGCAAGCGCGCCTTGCCCAGCAACTTTGATGAGGCTAGTGAGGAGGACAAGATGCTTCTTCGCATGAAAGACGAGGAGAACAAGCCCTGGAGCGAAATCAAGTCTGCATGGGAGAAGGCCACGGGCGAGACCGTGGGTGGCAGCACCTTGTCCAACAGATACCAGCGTATCAAAGCGAACTTTACCGTCTTCAGCCCTGAGGATGTTAGTCCTTTATTTATTTTTTTTTTTTTTTTTGTTGCTATCCGTGATATGTACTAACTGTGCGAATAGGAGGCAAAGCTGATCCAATGCAAGAAGGATATCGAGGAAAAGTTTGAGAATGAAAAGTGGTGCCGTATTGCGGATGCCATGGAGGTCGCTGGCGGGAAGCGGTACCCTGCAGCCGCCTTGCAGAAGAAGTTCAAGGATCTTGGACGGAAGGTGGCTGCCAAGGAGGCCGACGGAATGGCCGAGTAACCAGCCAGCCAGCCAACTCGACACATCGCTAACTACATTGGTAACCATGCCAGTTGGAAAAGCAGTCACTCTTTTTTTTCTTACATACATGCCGGATGGATATGGTGACTGGCTAGGAGAGACGGAACAGGAACGAATTAGGGGCTCGAACGGATACTTGGAAGTCCTACAGCGTGTCACTGCAGCTTCATCTGTACCCCTGCAGGCCGATCTCGGAGTATCCTTTACCATCCCTCAGGGCAGTCAGTGAATATTAACCAACAATGGAGATTTTTCCTTAGAAGTATCCGTATATTTGTTCAAGTAGTCCTCCGTAGCTATGATTGCCACCCACAACCCTACCTGCCGCAGAGTTGAGTCCACCAGATCACCAGCTAGCAAGCAACGCCGTAAGACCGACTCCTCTGCAGCTCCATGGCTGCGTGGAGCAGGGTGGGCCGGGCCATGGACGGGACAGGGGCCAGGGGGACGAGCGACGACTGCCAGTCCAGCGTTGACGCGAGGCGCTGGCTGGGGCGTGGGCGGAGCCACTCAGGGGCCAGCCAGGGCCCAGCTGAGGCTTGCTGAGGCTTGCCTTGGGGCGTCATCGGCGTCTTAGGGGCGACTTAGGGGCGACATGGGCCTTGCTACGGGGGCTACGGGGGCTACGGGGCCGCTAGGCATGGTTCGGAGCGCCGGGCGTGGAGAGGCCCACCGGCTCCAGCTTGCTGTTGGAAGCAACAGTAGAAGTGACAGCGTCAGGAGAGACAAGCAGAAGAGACAGCGAAGACGAGAACCCAGGACGAAGAGCAGCCTGCAACCCCTAGCAGCGCCCCCTATCCCCCTATAATATGCCGGGAAGCTGAGCTGTCGCGATCCCTGCGCTCCCCCAGGCGGCTGCAGCTCCACCTCCCGCGCTGTCGCCGCGCCTGACTGGCTGGCCGGCCGCTTCACTTTCTCGCTGTGCCAGCCAGGCCGGCGTCACCTCTCACCAACCACCAACTCAGCCGGGCAGCTTCTGGGCCAGCTTGTTCGCCTCTCGAGCGCCTGCAGAGCGAGCGTCGTCGTCTTCTGGGCTTTTCCTGCTCGTCGTCAAGGGTAAAAATACTGGCCGGCTCAGCATCGCGTCTGCCTGTTGATTGTTGATCCATCTATCTCCATCCATCCCTGTGATGCTGCTGCCTGCTAAGCTGACCCGGCCCTGACTCACAGTGATTGCTTCGTACAGCTCCCCTGGCCCCCGTCTTCGGCTTGCCAGCTGGGCCTTGAGGCTCGCGTTCTCACCGCTACACTGTCCTGCTGCCTGCTGGGCCGTTTTCCTTAGCCCTTTTTGTTGAGCTTGGTTGAGCCCGGTTGCTGCCTGCTTTGGACTGTGCTTGATATTTATATATCTTCCAGCACCCGCCCTGCTCCAGCTTTCAACATGGCTGGCTCAGAACCTCTTCCGCCTCCCCAGAGCTCGACAACTGCGTCTTCTACCATCGACGGCTCCAAGAGAGACACTCCGGCAGCTTCTCTTACTCCGTCCACCCCTTCTACATCATCAGCCATACCAGACGACTCCAACAATACCGCTACTACTACTACTACTACTACAACCGGCAGCATGGGTGACAAGGGAGACAGCCTCGAGATCAAGCAGCAGGACCGCACAGCGGAAAACCTGGCTGCAAAGACAGAGGTCAACCCTTCGCTGGCAACGGACGGAGCCAACACTGCTGCTGCCGCCAAGAAGTCTGGCTGTGGTAAACATGCTCACTCTCACTCCAAGTCAGACAAGCCAAGCAAGAATAAGAAAAAGAGCAAGAAGAAGAGCAAGAAGAAGGTCGAGACGGATAGCTCGTCGAGTGACAGCAGCAGTGACAGTGACAGTGACCTGGACGAGGAGGAGGTGAGCTCCGACTCGGACTCTTCAGATTCAGACAGCAGTTCAGACTCAGACTCGTCAGAGTCCGAATCTGAGCAGAAAAAGTCAAAGCCAAAGAAAAAGAAGACCAAGGAGCGGACTAGACGTGTGAAAGAGAAGAAATCTCGATCTCGAAAGCGGGAAGACACCGAGGACTCGTCTGATAGTGATGACGACGACTCATCGGATGAAGACCAGGGGTCAAAGAAGCAAAAGGAGAGCGAAAAGGTCGCAAAGAAGATCCTCAAGAAGCTGCTCAAGAAGCAGCAGCAGCAGCAACAGCAGTTGCAGCATCACCTAGAGAATCCGCAACACATGCCGTCTAGTCTACCAGGCGAACCGGGGTATGATGTCGTCAGCAGCGATGCCGCCAATATTACTCGGGATATGCAGAAGCGCGCCCAACAGATCAATCACATTAACCAGCTTAACAGAAGAACGCTCAGACGGGCACGCCTCATGAACCAGCCGGTTACAGATAACAATCCTCAACGCCAGCTCAAGCCCAAGACTAAGAAGAATAAGAGAGCTTCCAAGGTTGCCTTCAAACGAGTTGATCAATGTAAGCTCCCTTTCCTCTTTTTCTTTTAATTTCCTCCCCATTCACCTCCCCGTTGAGAGAGCCGGTCATATATGCATTCGATAAGCGGTTATAGCTGACTTTCACTAGTATGGGACAGCACCATCCACAACTACAAACTCACGGAAACGGTGAAAGATCCCGGAGCAGACGAATGGGACCAGTACATCTTCACGGTCCGCCGCAAGTTTGACTGGGAAAACAGATACACCGATACCGTCGTCGATATCAAGAGCAAACCCCTGAGAGATGCCCTGGCCCACATCATGGATGGAGTCAAGGGTGTCAGCCTCGTCCAGGATACCCCAGTCCTTGACCCAAACCTTCTCTTCCTCTACCTTGAAGAGACAAGAGAGTACATGCACGAGCTCAAGGCACAGTCCAAGTCAGAGAAGAAGAAGAGGAACCGGAAGAGAGCTGCCACCAAGGCAGCTCACCTGAAGATCCTTGTCAAATATCTCGACAAGGACTACGCTGAGACAAAGAACGCCCTATACCCGCTCCTGGACAATAATACAATCACATACGATCTGCTGTGGGCTTTGTTCAAACCCAACACAATTGCTTACACACAGACGTATGGCACGCCCGATGAACCGCGTGCCTTCAAGATCGAGTATGCCACCAAGGAATCCTCCTTCATGAGAGGTCAGTGGTACTCTATTGAAGGCCGCTACCTTGAATATGACGGCAAGTCGTTCGGAATGGGCACCATGTCCGCCGAAGTAGACCATTTCAAGGGTCCCCGCAAGATCTCCAGCTTAGCATGCTACCCTCTCAAATACCACCGTGATCCCGAGGCGCTGCAGGCTCAGCTCATCGAACGTGGAAAGAAGTTTGTTTCTCTGCAGGGCATGAACTACAGGTTCCACAAGGGCATGGCGTTTGTAAAGCGTAAACGAAGCATTATCAAGGTCAACATCAACGGACGTATCATGGTAGATCCGGCTCTGCACCGTCGTATCAACCCCAACTATGCCATCAGCACCGTCAAACCCAAGGAACCTGACCTGATCATGGAAGTAGGCGGAGATGATGATAGCGATGACTGCTGCTGCGGTTCCGATTCTGGCTCTGAGGGCGGCGAAGGCAACGATGAAACCTTCAAGCCCAAGACCCGACTGAAGGTCGTCCAGGATAAAGAGGGCAAAACACACGTTGTCGAAATGGAATGTGACGAAAACGGCAACGAAATCCCCAAGGAAAACATCACCAAGCTTGAGGATGGCGAAACAGTTGAATACGAGTTCACCGAGGAAGAGCTCCTGATAGCCTCTCCTGTCGTTCTAGGCTTCGCATTCAGTGAAAAGCTCTGGCTTGAATTCACCGTCTCCGGCATCACGGAAATCGACTGGAACTCAGGCGCTTTTGACTCCCTCGTCTTACCCGCAAACCAGAAGTCTATCGTCAAGGCCCTTGTCGAATCTCACACTTTTCATGCTGCTGAAAACATCGACGATGTTATCCAGGGTAAAGGCCGGGGTCTTGTAGCTGTCCTTCACGGTCCACCTGGTACGGGCAAAACACTCACGGCAGAGGGTATTGCCGAACTGCTCAAACGACCCCTTTACATGGTCAGTGCGGGCGAGCTGGGAACAGACTCACGCACCCTCGAAGGAGAACTCAATAAGATCCTTGACATAGCCCACTCATGGGGTGCGGTTCTGCTGCTGGATGAGGCAGACGTCTTCCTTGAGAAGCGTACGATTCAAGATATCCACCGCAATGCTCTGGTTAGCATCTTCCTACGTTTACTAGAGTACTTCCAGGGCATTCTCTTCCTTACCACGAACCGTGTCGAGACCTTTGATGATGCTTTCCAGTCACGTATCCACGTTGCCCTGAGATACGGAGACTTGACCACCAAAGCTAAACGGTCAGTTTGGAAAATGTTCCTTGACCGTGTCCAAACCAAGGAGGGCATCGAGGTCGTCAAGTTCACGGATAAGGATTACGATACTCTAGCTAGGCATAACCTAAACGGTCGACAGGTAAGCATGCTCCTACATATTGCCTTTTGCGCTCAAGCTCAACTCCAGTTAACAACATATAGATCAAAAACTCAGTACGCACTGCTCAGGCCCTGGCTATCAATGAGAAAGTGCCCCTATCAATGCAACATATCATACGTGTCCTAGACGTAGCAGAGACGTTCGAGCAGGATCTCAAGGGTGGAACAGGCTACTTGGACGCCATGAGAAGCTACACTTAATGTGGTCTTCATCTTCATTATCTCCCTTCTCATTTGTCTTTATGCCTTCCATCAATATTCCCTTTCATTCACTTCGCCAGTGTCATTACTAGTTCAACCTCACCATACCTTTCACCCTTGTTTTTCTCTTACGTTTCAAGTTATGGTTATGATAATACTTCTGGCTTCGGTTCTGGTTCTGGCCCTGGTCCTGGTCCTGGTACAATTCCCCCGGTGCGATTTTCAGTGTCTTATTTTTCTTTCTCCATTTCTCCTTTCAGTCTTGTTTTACCGGTTTACCACAATACTATCTACCTACCCGGCCCCATGATATCAACACATGTTTTAACTCCACTCGACCACTCCCTCCATCAATGCTCTTAAAACGCAAGATTAGATATAAAACACCTCCTTACTTCGGCCTTTCTTACCATCCATCCCGTGTCTTACTTCCAAGGGGTTTTTGTTACCTTTCTAAATGTTCTGATAATCTTGTGGAGGGAATAATACTGACCACCTGGTGTACTCCTTTGTTCTCTTTTGCTGCTTTTTATGGCATTGTTTTCATTCGATACTATTTGTTTGAGACAGACAAACTTGATTGATTAGCCTGGTTAATGTGTGTGAGGAGGTAATGGAAATGAATATTTATATCCAGAATATATATATCTACAGAATAAGTCGAAACGTTAAGCGCGATCTAAGTCTACCGCCACAGGAATCGGTGGATGATATAGAATCATAAATTGGCCATTTAAAGTACAAGCTAGAGGGAGGAAAAGGGACTTAGATCTGCAACAAGCCGCTAACGTTCAACACGCCACGTAAACTAGAAACCCTTGGGAGATCATAGGCAGGATTGAGGTAAAGGGTGAGAAAAACATAGTACAGTAAGGTAGGGATACTAAAGTGGACGGGCAGGCTTCATCGTAGAGGATACGATTTAAGGGTTGGCCTTGACGAAGTCGACACCTGCAGAAAAATATACAGTTAGCCGTGGTCTATAAAGGGAAACAAAGGACATGAGAAGTAACGTACCCTTCTGGATGTTCTTCTTGAGCTCAACAAGGCAGTTTTCAAGGAGCTTCTGCTCGTACTCGGAGACCTTGCCGATGGGGAGGATCTCCTCGACACCGTTGGGGCCGAGACGAACGTTGGAGGCAACGAACTCGATACCCTGGTCCTTGTAGAGGGGGCTGTCAACGAAGGTGGGCTCGATGACGTTCTTCTCGCCCTGGGTGGCTTTGAGAAGACTGTCGGCGAAACGGGCACCGGCCTGGGCCATGGAGAGAGTGGCAGACCCAGCACCAGCCTTGGCCTTGACAACCTCGTCACCGCCGAACTGGATGCGGTTGGTGAGCTTGTCGAGGGCCTCACCGGCAATGTCGGGGTGGTTGGACTGGGAGATCAGTGGGATGATGGTGACACCGGAGTGACCACCAACAACGGGGATCTTCTCATCAGCTGGGTCGGTGTTCTTGATCTCAGAGACGAAGCGAGAGGCACGGAGGACGTCAAGGGTGGTAACACCGAAGATACGCTTGGGGTTGTAGACGTTCTTGGCCTTGAAGACCTCGGCAACAATTGGGACGGTAGAGTTGACCTATTCGTACATTAGACGGCGATTTCGACTGTTACTATTGCAAATGAAGTACTTACCGGGTTGGAGATGACGAGGATGTTGGCGTTGGGGCAGTGGTCAGCGGCAGCCTTGGCCAAGTCACGGACAATGGAGGCATTGGTAGCGAAAAGGTCTGACAAGTCAGCTTCAAAACCTCTCTATTTTCCATTGATGCTTCATAACAGCAGAGAGCAAACATACCATCACGGGTCATTCCTGGCTTGCGGGGGACACCGGCGGGGATGAGGACAATTTCAGATCCCTCGAGAGCCTCCTTGAGGCCGGATGGGGTGGGCTCATGGCCGCTGACAACGCTGTTGGTGTTGATGTGGCTCAAATCAGCGGCAACACCTGCAATTGACCGGTCAGTTTTATGGCCTCTTCTTCAATTTTCACCTCAATTGCAGAGTTTGGAGGCTGCAATTGGGTGTTTCGTAGCTACGTACCGGGTCCACCGCGGATGTCGTAGAGAGCAAGCTGAGAGACACGAGGGTTCAACTTCATCAACAGGGACAACGGCTGGCCAATGCCACCGGCAGCACCGAGGACGGAGACCTTGGAGGCCTACAGCACAGAATTCTACGTTAGCACACAGTTCCTGCAGCGAAGGAATGCTCCGTCCAGCTGTACCGAAGCTCCCCGGAAGCGTTGGGGCCGGCGTCACTTACCTGGGAGGCAGTGGCAGAGAAAGCTCGTCTCTGGAAGAGAGTGGCGGTGCGGCGTGCGGCGAACATGGTGAATGCAATTGAATGAGGAATCTCAACAAACAGCGGGTGAGAAGGGAGTTGTGGCGGTCGGCGTTATTTGTCTTGCTTGTCTCGTGGGAAGAAGAAGAAGATGAAGTCGAAGTCGAAGTCGAAAGTCGAAAAGTTGTTGATGTTTTTTCTCGGGCGGGAAGTCACGTGCACTCGGGCTCGGCCGGCGATTTCGGCGTCAAACTTTTGGATTTTGATATCAAGAAGAAAAGCAAAGAGAGACAGCGATCAAACATCAGACAGCAGGGAAGATGCTGGCCGTGGCATGGCAGGCTCGCTACTACTTAACATTACTCAGTTACAGTTCTAGGCTAGCTAAGTACATAGGCGGCGATCTGGGGTAGGTTGGCTGAAGTTTACAGGGGGGTTCATGGCCGTATATAGGCCTTGGGGGAGTGTTTGGGATAGTCCTCCAGCTCTGTGTGCAGCGTCTCCTGGCGACTGAAGTCTCTCTCGATAACCCCGATCTCCTGAGCGTGATGGTGATGTCCTGGCTTCCGATCAGTGTCTCCGTGACGGGTTCTGTGGTCGTAAACCAAAGGACTAGTCGAGGTCTGCGATTCACATGTCTGGGAGTGAGACCAGACCGGCAGTCCAGAGTGAGGGTCGGATGACTCTGCGGCCTTCTTCTTCTCCTTCAGTATTCGATGGCGCTCGGTGAGCTGGTTGATGATGGCGGCGAGGATGACCAGCGCTGCAGAAACCATGGGGGACCACTGCCCGATTGAACGGATGCCTTCTCCGACGGGGAAGTGGTTGATCATCAGGTTGATTTCATTGATGAGGATGTTTGCAATGAAGATAAAGGGCGTCAGGATGTCGAGGACCAGGTCGATAACGAGCAGTGGACAGATCAGTGTGATGGCTATCAGGCGGCGTTTGTTGGACTGGAACTTGGCTGTGCTCGCATACCGCAGCAACAGGATGTACCCGCCGTACCAGGTCGAGCACGCAGCGTTGTAGATGTGCTGTGACAATCGGGCGTTCAGAGAATGGTTCAAGTAGCCCAGCACCCAGTGTGCACACAGATCAGAAGGCGAGTGCAGAGACAAGTTCACCGACATGCTCTTATGCGCAGCAGCGAGAATGGGAGCCATCAATGCCACGGTCAATGTCGAATACGTTCCAACAAACACCCTGGCTGACATCACTGTGATCTCAGATGGATCTCTCAGCGGCGTTCGGACTCCGAAGCACTTGTACGTGCAATTAAACATGCCGCTGGCCAGCTCAGACTGTGCCTTCAGAAGTGTCCCGTTCGAGGACCTACAGGCCGGCTCAGCCTGGGAATTGACATCCAGCAGCAATGCCCTGCCCGTCACACAGCCTATGCCAACCATCATACCCCACAGAATCAACACAATTCTCGAGTCAGAGTTCCTGACAGACGAAGACCAATGTATCAGTGCTGCAAAGGCCAGACATCCCGTTGTCAGAATTGACCATGCTGCAAGAATGTCCAGATCAAACGCCGGTGTCTTGGAAGTGACCAGCGTCAACATGTGGATAGCAGTCGAGCCTGCAAAGGCCAGAGCAGATGCCAACGCTCCTAGAACAAGCCATCTATGGGTTCGTCCGATGATGGCAAAGACAAGGGAGCCGTAGTATAACAGGCGAGAGAGAAAGCCATACTGTCCGCTTATCGGAAAGACGCAGAGAACAGAATCATCCTCCGCTGCTGTCTCGTTAGGACCAAAGATCCCCCGGGGCTCTAACTTGGCTCCGGCTGCTGGTAAAGTCGAGGTTGGTGCCGCCCTGCTACCCCCGACCAGCAGCAAGATGCACAGTGCGTATAGTGAAATCGACACCCATAGCTCACGTCCGGGTCTCGTATGGCGGATCATCGGTATATAAAACACATTCGACGTGATGGCGCATCGGTAATCATCTCATTTAGCTAACGACTTCACTCCGACCCAGCGCGATAACTGAAGTCGAAAGCAGCTGTAGCAGAAGTCATATAACTAATAATCCCACCTCCTCGTCGCCAGCAAAGACGTTTCACAAAAACGCGGCTGAACATCGTATTTATATATTTACTCTGCAGGACTCTCATCCTTGAACAAAGTCGCTGCGTTTTCCCGTTTGTGGCTGATTGGCCCGAAGCCAGCATAGCCCCAGTTGATACGAAGACTTAAGCGTCCTTTGAACGGGACAGACGCCCGGCAGCAAAGCCGCTCCATCAATGATTGGCCTGATAACGGCCACACAGGGCAGCCCATTCGTCTTTGAAGTTTGGCTTGATAGAGTGCTGTGACATGGGTAGTTAGTCCGATGGAGACATCCTGATGAGCGGGAAGGATTTGACCGCTTTTGTCCCACAACATGAGGTCATCCTTGAATATACCTCGTACGAGCTATCATAGATAACTACACGCTTCTCTTGAGGGAGAGATGATGCGGCGTTTAAACAATATCTCATGTTGATACAAGTAGCAGTAACGTCTCCATTGTTGTATACAATAGCCTTCTCGTAACTATGCAGATAGGCTTGGTCGTACATCTTTGTCAAGTTATTTGACTGGCATTCAGATTCAGCCATCACCAATTAAATGTTTCAAGCCTCGTTTGCTGTCGGCCTCGAGGACGTTATCCGATGTCTGCTGGAATAGCGAGGCACGGTAGAGGTGTTGTATCCCTTCGCAAACGCCATTGGGAGATACTTTTGGCTTCCGGTAGCAGGTACCAGCTTTGGGGCTTAGCTGGTTGAAGCCAAGGTAGGAGGGCCGTGGTGAAGAATATCGAGACAACCATCAAGAAAGAGCCATTATTGTTAACCAATTACTTCCCTCCTGTACAGCAGCTCGATGGCGCCGATTGATTGAAAATACCGAGGTCGTCAGCAACCCCCGTATCAGCGCAGGAAATGAAGAACTGCCCAGCAGAACAGGATAAATATCACAAGCCCTGCCCAAAATATCCATTTGTCCTGCTTGGCTCTTCTCTCGATCATCCGTATTGTATCTCCGCTTACTCCCAACGTATTAGCGACACTGTATAGCCTCCGTTGGGTGCCTTTTAGCATTTCGCGCTGCTGGCCAAGATCAGCCAGGACAGCTCTGCCCCTATCAAGAAACTCATCTATTTGGCTATTTGTGTTGGCTAGGAATGACTGTTCTCGCAGGGCATGTGTCTCTCGGTTATAGTCTGAAGGTGAAGCGCCGAAGCTAAGCCCGCCGCTTGCATGGGCCTGTTGTCGGTGGGGACTCGCGAACGCTGAATGTTGCGCAGATAGGTTCGATTGGGCATAAGGATTCTCGGGTGTCGCTGCATTGTGAGGCCTGCGGCCTAGTAGTTCATTTCTGTTTGCAGTAACTTGCTATCCACCAAAAGTTCAGCTCCGGAACATCTCAGCCACTCGTGACAGGTTATACGTACAGCTTCTTCCCTCTCTTTGCGTAATCTGTCAAACTGCAGCCTATAGTCTGCCAGCTCGGTTCTGAAATTCTTTACTCGCTCGAACGCTTTCTCTTGTTTGGCAGGTATGAGCTCCTTTTTCGAGAGCGAGGAGTAATCATCTATTGTTCGTGAAAAGGATGTGAGGGATGCAGATATCTGTCCTGTGATAGCATTGTATATAGTCAACCCATGGCTCCTTCACCAGGATCTAGTACCTCCGGGTAGTAAGATGGTGGTACCTTGTAGAGCTGCTGGTCCGCTGGTGGGAGATTCCGCAAAAGTGTCCAGGTCGCGACGGACAGCCGCTGACTGTTTCAGGGCGGCGTTGAATAGAGAATTCTACAGCCACGCTGGTTAGCTGGGAAACGTAGATATCACCGGGTGTCTAAAGGCCTACCATCTTGAGCTATGATGTGTGCGCAGAGCACAAGCGACGACGCAACGCGAAGGGGATTCAAGGCAGCACAGCACGAGTACGGAGTATGTATTAGGCTATTGTATATCAGCTACCTATAATCAATTTCTCTCCGACCGCCAGTGTAGTAATAATAATGGATCAAGAGCGACGTCGCCTGAAGTTGATGTGAAGTTGATGCCTTTCTTGCTGTCTTTTCTGTCTCTTCGCTTCTTGCAAGCTGTCAACTTTCTGCCCGCCTTCACCGCCCTAACTAACTAACTAGCTTGCTGACCTCATCCACTCGACCTCAAGTTAACGAACTCATCAACAACAGCAAAATTCCAAACATCCACATCAATTTACCGACATACCACCCGCCTCCCCTTCCTCATCATCTTCATCAAAATTCCCATCTTCACCGTCATCGTCATCGTCATCGTCATCGTCACTGCCTATTCGAATCATCCCTAACGAATCGACGACTTCTTCAAGCTCCTCTGCTTCACTGTTCGAACGAATGGGTGCACAGTGTGTTAACGCATTTTGCTTGAGATCTTCCGGCAATTCGTGTCCCAACTCCTCCATAAAGCCGTAAATCATGTTGTCCCTTAGATATTCCCCGTGCGTAGCCCATGCTCTCGTGAGCTCTGGCCACTCAGTGTCTGGAAGCTCACTGCGAACTATACCAGTCTTCTGCGCCGCTCTGAAGTGTATAATCATCGAGGTAAGGTAATGGAAGTATAAGTATCGCGCTCGTGGACGAAAGTCATTGGGAAAGATCAATTTTCGTTCATGTAGGTCAGAGAATTTCATTTCCCCACCTGGAAACACGTACTCGTTCCAGAGCCCCGACTTATCGACAATTAGAAATTGCCATTCTCGGACGTCCGGGTTGTCTGATTTAGCCGGAACAACGACGATCTGGTGGGCATCGAAGTGTTTTTCGATCTTCTTCGGGAGAAGCAAAGCATTTCTTGGTGAGTTTATTTCATATCTTGCATCTCTGCCGAAGATATATTCCATCGCCTTAGGTCCAATTGAGAGCGGAAAGATGTGTGCTGCGACAAACTCATCTCTCTCGCGACGAGTGCCATCCAGGACACTAAAACAGTACGTGGTGTTGTTGGTTTTCCTAGTTCCACCATAGGCTCTCAGGACGTCTTTTGAAAAGTCGCTTTGCTTCTGATGGCTTGTTTTGCTCTGGATCGTCAAAAGCAGATCCACATAAGCAGCACGCATAGATGTGAGATTAGTGGTAGTCGACGATGACTGCTGGAGAATCTTATTCCTCTTATCGAAAAGCTTCTTCTTCTCCAGTATAGAAAGTCGTTTGGCACTCCGTTGGTCTTGTTGCGACTTGTATTCTTGCGCAGCCTGTTCAAAACTCGGATCCGATAGATCACTGTTTCTCTGCAGCGCACGGAATCTCAAATCACTTATCTGGTCTTCACCGTCAAGCTCTTCCTTGCTATACTTCCAGTAGTCCTCTGACCCATAGACCTCCTCGCTGCTCCCTTGGCGGGCCCTCCGCACTGCAGCTCTCAGGTCCTTCACGCGAGACTTTTCGTCGTCCGTCAGTTTTGGATCCATTTTCAAAGTCTCGGGAAGTGTACTCTGTAGCTGCCGTAGAAGTAGCAAGGATAGTTATATGAGGCTGGAATAACGGCGATCAAAACTCACGCAGGCTCGAATCAGGGGTTGTGTTTTGACACAACGGTGGAGTCCAGGAGGGGGGGGGGGAAAAAAAAAAAAAAAGAAAGAAAAAAAAAATATGGAGGAGCTTGGCTTGGTTTGTGCGTTTTAAACCCAGTTCAAGCGACGCTTAGTAAGCGTCTTCCATTTCATTGGCTAGTTAGTTGGTTAACTGGTGTGGCGGATGGGCGAACTATTTTCATATTTTCATTATAAGTTGCTTCCATTAGTTATGCAAGTTCCTGAACATGTCGCCCTCCACATCTGGGATAATAAACAGCTAGTACCCGATCAGGGACCGGTTAGAGCAATTTCGCAAGCTATCTACGTACAGCGTTGACCGGAGAGGACCTATCCAAGTAGATGGAGGAGACGATATTAAAGCCTCCTCCGTTTTCTCATTGCTTTGCCAACTCTCCCTGCTTATGATAAATTACTTTTCCAAAAAGGGATCTGGCTCACTCTAAAGGAGGTACTGGTTCGAAGCTGTCAGGCACTTCTGAAATACCAGGGACTGCATAGCTCGCCTGCAAACGGTGGCAGACATTTCAAGGGAATCTCCCGTCCACACGGAGTAACTGCATGTGTATACGTTGAATACCCAGGTATAGACATGAGCCTAGTCCGAAATTAGTGCGTTTAAATACTCCAGAACCTTCTCCGGAGGAAATTCTTTTGGGTTCATTTCCATCTCCATCTCTGCCTGGAAATTCCATAGTTATACAGCGGAATATAAACTACATCAGCACCTCCTGTCCGTCTCATTTGACGCTGCGGCATTTACGTCGTCGGAGGCGAAAAAAACTCGCAATTCAGTCAGGCGGTTCGTTCATTCATCAGCTGCATTCGTTTTAACGGTGGCTTGACGCACCATATTTATCGGTGTTCTGAAAAGGGGCAACACCGACTATACCAACGTCCCCATGCAGAGGAGACATGATACAAACAATCCCAGGATATGCATGCTTTGTCTTGGGTTACATTCGCTTCTCCCCGAGCCAATACAAGCTGTCAACCCTTGATGGAGAGAAATAAGAAGGAGTTATTGGATAACCAACCAGACTCCATAGCACTTGGCTCCCATCTGCTGCGAGGTCGAAGCTGATCTGCTGCTCTTTTCGAACGTACGCCAGGACCTTAATACGCCGTACGTAGTTTTTCGTTCCGCGATAACTAAGTATATCGAGCTCCCAGCAAGGCCTGGTGGAGACTTTCGTTTGCCGGTCAGTCCCTGCTGGCGCACACAACAACAATAGCAATGGATCCACTGCATGTCAACAGTGGAGAAGGTCCAATGCATATAGTTAATTTAATTTTTGTGCCAGGACCAGGTAACGAAGTAGTGTCTCAACTGCGCCGTACCTGCAGGGGAGTTGATGTGCTCTGGCCTGCGGCGCTGCTCCGCTGAGAAAAAATTGGCGGTTATTATTATATATAAAAAGCGAGATGAACTGTACTCCGCCCCCTTCCATGTTGCTCAACCCATATCCATATCTTTCACTCGAAGCTACATAGCTTTTACAGCGCCTATAAGAAAAATGCGGGCTACGTTCACACTCCTTCTCGCGGCTATAGCTGCCGCTAAAGATATCACGGACGACGATATTACCATCATCCTGCCTAACGAGCGGCCAACCGTTACCATTGATCCATGGCAATGCTTGACACAGAATCTCACCGAGTACTTCGATGTTCCGAGGCCGACTGGCGCCTTTTACTCTGCTGTCTACTCTCATGGCAGTGAGCTGATCAAGGACTGCGTCGCAGCAACGAAGGGAGTAGATTGCCCCTTTCCTGAGTCCTCTGACTGGTGCAGCCTCAGCACTTCGATACCCGCGTCTGTGCTACCAGCCTACTCCGCCTACGGTAGCGTGGCCTCTGTGTGGTGGAAGTCACATAGCTCTGCGGTCTTCACAGCCGCCGAGATGTGTCCACTTGGCTGGTTTGACGCCATGCTTTCGATTCCTGGCGGTAGGGCGTGGATGAACCTGACCAGAATCTATGGTGGATGCTACGCTCACGCACAGCCTACCCCTGGTTCTGAACCCTCGAAGCGACTATCGACCACATCCGGGCCAACAGCTATGCCAGGTGCGGGAGCATCGGCTACGGGCCATAGCCAACCGACCGCGACTCCTATGAAAAACAGCATTTTTGGCCGGGCCGAAAACAGGCCAGGGTCTCTAGTGGCTGCCGGTGCTGGGCTTGCTGCCGCCTTCATTAGCTCAATAATACTATAGCCGAGACCTCACTCAGAATGAACTTGATGGCCGGGAGAGTTGGAACGAAGAACTGATGATTTACTGTTATATTGGCGTCATCCCCTATACTTACATATCCCCCTATCCCCTAACAATTGTATTGGCGAAAGCTAAATGGTCTACCCAACTGACCAAACCAACCATATATTTTTCAATGGGAACCAACGCTGTTTATTGGTTAATTTTATAGACATAAACTCTAAGAAGTTATAGCAACCAATAGAATGAGCATAAATTATAGGCAGGGGTTAAATCCAACGAATAGCATTCTGCAATTTTAAAGCCGCCTTAGGACTCTAGCAAAGCTGATCCGTTGAATTGATAACTACCTATTATTGAAAATCCTCAGTCGGAAGACATCAGCCCTGGCTCCGGTGGGATGCACTGACGGGAGGTTAGCTGCTGCTTGCGATAGGTTAGGGCTCGCCTGATCACCAATTGTTATGAATTAACTACTCGGTGTTCTTGAAACGCCAGGCCTTGGCGGCCAGGGCGCTGCATCCTTTGTTAACTCGTTGTTACTGGTGACCCCTCTGGATATAAATTTCCACCATCCGACCCGCACGCGTTTGCGATATCCTACGAGAACAATAAGGATACGGGTACAGGCGTCATACACAGCTGAACGAGCATCCAGTAACATTCTGCGCAGCAACCTGTCAAACGGGCCCGCCTGCCAATATGCCGGAGCTTTGTGACATCACCTACTCACGCGAGGAGTGCATCGCCGCAGTCCGTGGGTATTACCAGTTTCTTACCGCCATGTACCTGAAGGAGAGCGATATCCTGGAGCCGCCAGAAGGAGGCTGGCCATCGGTTACCCCTAGTGCCATACAACAGTTGGGCAAGACGAACGAAGTCGCGGCGCTGCTGCGGCATCTTCCCTATATACGCAATCTAGGAAACGGCAAACCCCTGACCTTCCCATGCAGTCAATTTGAAAATTGGGAGGAGTCCTGTATGTCCATATACCAGGGCAGGTTGGAGCTCGAGGGCATTAAAGAGTGCTCAGAGGGCCATGGCCCGAATGATGTGCCGCCTCATGTTATCGGCCTCACAAGTGGTGGGCGGATTAATTACCCTCTTCTACTCGACACAGAGCTTGGTGTTATTTACTGGCCAGAGTGTCCCGGAGATATTCAGCTTGACTCCAACGCACCCTGTGAGCGAGTCTGGGACGACCCGTACGAGTACGCTTCGATGAGTGAGGCAGAGTGGCGCGCCGAGGGTGCATACTGGTCCATCCCAGACTTCTTTGAGATTATCAAGGACCAGTTTCGCCGTCTGCTCTTTATCCCCATTAGTACGGGCACTGTTATTGATGTCTATAATTACCGCGATTCGCCTCAGTTTATCCAGTTTTTGCAGGAGATATATCGAGAGCATGGCTGGCCTGACCTTGAAAAATACAACAAGCTAGAATGTCTCAAAGATATACAAAAGCGGCTGACGGAGAAATATCCCGAGAAGGTTGACTATGATGAAGCCCTGAATGAATAGACAGTCGATATAGCAGGCATGCATGGTGTTAAGGGTACGGCGTACATTTTCAATTGTTAACATCATGCCTGGTCTAGTGTTGAAAAACAAAAGAAACTATTTCAAGCTCTTCCTAACGAGTTACTCGAGGACTTGCCCCTGTTGCAGTGGTAAGCTGCGTCTCACTGATCTGGCTGCTAGGTACTGGTGTTGATGAGAAGAACCCCGGTGTTGGTGTAGAGACTGGTGACTCGGAGCCGATAGGGGTCTCAGTAACTGCCCCTAGAAATCGCGATGATAACTCAGCCTGGCTAGGTGTTGATATGAAGTTCGGATAATCTTGCTCGATAGAGTTATATAGCGGCTTTTGGGTGTGTTCCTCCATGACTGCAGGTCCTTGATAATATCCAAGCAATATCCTAATTCGATCTTTGATATCGCAGAATTTTTCATCGGATAATTACTCATTAGTTCTAACTACATTAGGAATTATATGCAGTCTTTTAACTTCGAAAGAGACTGCATCAGTTGATGCAAACACATCTCGTATACAAATGCCACCGAGCAAGGGGGTTGCAACCAAATTTCCTAATTAGGAAGTCCGTGCAATCTTCTTTCATGCAGCGGAGCGCTGCTGAAGGGGTCTAATACCTGTTTTATCACTATGTTTGAATGTACACTGAGGAAGCCCCTGCCATACGAGGTCTCAGGCTTGCCTATACTAGTATTATGCGGCTATATTTCTTGGGGCTGCGGTTTACAATAACCGCTTCAGGGGTCCTATCTTCGCCGCAATCTAGGTACTACAGGGGAGTAATTAATAGCTTGAACATAGCTAGAGGGACGAAGTACAGTACTCGGAAAGCCGGGCCACATACCTTGAAGTGTTTGGATACCCTCCATGTGGCGATTATAGAGGTATATGCATGCATATATATATATATATTGCGTGCAAGCTGCTCCTGATGGATGCCACCTCTCATCCTTTCTATAATCACAGGCTTTCACTACCATAATGAGGTCAAGCGTGAGTTGTGTTTCAGCTGCCCTTCTATGGGGGGCAAGTTGGACCTACGCTGCTATCAACCTCAACGGCTCCCAAGCGGTGTTGCCTTTGAGTGAACATGATCCTTCTCCCATTGGAGACCCTACCACCTACTATCCTGACCAGCATGATTGCCCACTGCCTTGTGTTGACTATGCAAACATCCATAGCTGGATCCCCTATTTCTCTGTGGATCGCTTGCGCCGTTGCCAGGAGCCGCTTCTTGTGCAGTTATCCGTTACCCAGCCGCTGGACGACCTGGAGTCTACCATACTCCTGCGCACCTGTACCTCAAGTTCCAACATATCGCACGCTTTTGCCGCCAAGCAGATCAATAACCCCAAGAAATCCGAAGAACTATACCAGAGAAGACTTGACACTGCACCTGTATGTGTTACCACCGGCATTGAAGTCCAGGACAGATTGAAACTGGCTATTGGGAGCAACAATGAACGAAACAGTATCCATACCACTCGCCTTCTTGCGGGCATGGAGAAGTTCTTCAGCGCAAAAGATAACTGTGACGAGAACTTTCTGTTTGCCTATTACAACGAGACCGCTGTAGGGCTCTATATTGGCCCTGGTCTGGGTAAACCTACTGCAAAATCAGCGCTCAGTGCCCTGTCGAGCTACATACGGACCCGTGGTGCGGTCTCAAACACGGCTGTCCAGTTGTGCGGTGATAACCGTAAATCAGATCGAGTTTTTGGAATATACATAGATACCACTGGCGATCTTACAGCAGTCCAGAAGACAGTCTCCGAATGGAGCAAAGGGAACTGCATGACGGGGTTAAAGTCTCTAGGAGATCTAGCAGACGTGAAGGTGATGGATATCGCTGGCATGCGCATCACCTCTGGCAATGATACCACCAACAA